CGTTTGTCCTCCGAGCAACTCGTCCTTTCAAAGTCATTGCACACTCAGATGGTAGATTGTGTGATTCCTGAAGGGTTCGTCCCATCTTTGCACTTTTCCTCTGACTCCACCACGTGACTGCTGCTTGAGGTGCTGGCCGTCGTGTTTTGTGTGTGTTTACATGTGTGTCTGTGTGTTGACAGAGATAAGCTGAGAGAGCAGATGTTATTCAGCAGGAGAGAAGAGACCAGCTTCTCATGCCTGGTTTTAAAAAACACTGAAAACACTCAAATAGAACTCTGCAGCAGGCTGATTTTTATGAAGGGTTTGTATGTTTTAATCAAAAGCTTGATTAATCCTTAATAAACATTTTATTAATGATTTATATCAGTAAGAAGCTACATGAACAACTTTGTTTGCTTTGTCTTTTAAGCTTGTTTTTTGAATGATAAAACTACTACATAAGATCTTTAGAAACAGATTCCATATTGAACTTAATTATGTTTAAACAGAACTGTTTTGTGTTGCATGCCTGCAAATATGCAGACACGTGAGGAACGTTGCAGATCTAAGTGTTACTTTTCTCATTGTCTTAAATGAGCAGGCCGAGCGTCTCCCTCTCTACCACCAGCTGCTTTCCGCTCGGACAACCGGTGTTCTGGCGCTGGCCTCGGTACAGCTGGCCACGCTATTTACATTACCACGCATAAACAATTAAGATTAGGGATGAATCTGATTTATTGCTCCAGCCGGCCTGTTGTTTGATTGGCTCGCTCCACCAGACGGAATTGTTATCACTGTGTCGGCTGATAATCGAGGGGGATCAAGTTTTGCTTGTGGCTGCGATTCATAATCTCTAAAAGCAACTCGTCTCACACTGACGACTGGACCAGTTTCTGTGCAACGCAAACGGCACAAATACACAGATGTTTCTCCACCATCTCTTTTGCGCTGTCTCACGCACGGAGAGAAACGCCGCTTCTCACCGTCGGGCCTTGCTTTTGTTTGATTTACTCGGTGGCCTCTGACCTCGGGCCGGACGGAGCTTGATGGACTCTTGGTCCTGCTGCTGCTCCGAATGGATCTCCAATGGACTCCTGTGTGTTTGCACAGATACACGTCGCACGCCGCCTTTGTCCCTCGAAACATGTAATGTGTTATTTGGATTGTGGTTCCCAAATAATGTGCTGTACCTCTTAAATACCAGTTAAATCCATGTATCTTTGTGTACTTGTACCCACATTTAAACTAGAGAATAACTAGGTTTCATCCACACACGAGATGACTCTCATTAATAATGTCAAATATTACAACTTTCTACCTTAAGAAAAAGTGAATAAAACCTTTGTGATTCATTTATACTTTATAACACATCTCACTCTTTTTACAAACCAGATCTTAACACCCACAATTCTCATTCTTTATATTCTATATAACAATGTGTTTCTCTATCATGGCGTCTCTCCATTGTTGCTCCATTTTGAATCTGCTGTAAGACTGACTGACTGTAAGAAGTAACGTAATCTGGAATAAATAAATCCGTCAGCCGTTATTTAAATAGTTAAATCACGTAGCACTTCTTTTTTTGTGGCATTTCTTTGGTGGCTCCTGTAAAAGTTGTATAGTTGTGGTATTTTTTGAAACATGTCATCTTTGAAAGCTTTGAGTATTTCTAACAGACGTTCAAAGTTGATAAACGCCATCGAAGTGAGATAAGACGATTGATCCACTTTGATCAGCTGGGTTAATGTGAAGCCAGAGCAAGCAGGTTGTTAGCTTAGCATACATTTATGCTAAAAAAACAGCTAGCCGGTCTTTGTCCAGGCCAACCAAAAGTAACCAAATACCCCAACAGGTACATCTAAAAGCTACAAATGAGACCAGAAAGTGTTGAGGTGGATTCTCTTACATCTGTGAGAGCGGTTTCCAGTTTTATGCTAAGCTAATGGGCGCGTTTGCCTTCAACAACATACATCTTCTCATCTGACTCCAGTCGGGAAAGAAAGAACGTGCGCACCACTAGAATTGTTCCGCCAGGACAACTTTCCAGGTCTGAAGACGTAGATTCTTTCGTGAGGTGGACTTGATCTTTGACCCAATTCAAAAAGGGTAAACTTCCTCCGCTCGCCCCTCAAGCACCTTAGCAACAGACTTCTTAAGCTACCTGTGTTTCACGTCAGCCCTTTTTCCTCGTTGTGCAACACACTAAACGCCTCAATGCGTCCCGTTAAGCCCTCGATGAGGAAGTGGATTGTTTTGTTTTTTAGTTCTCAGCAGCGAGAGTGACCTAAAACGGGGGGTGGGGGGGGGGGGGGTGTTACACTACAATAGCTGCGAAATCTTATGGCAGTAACCACAGCGGAGCACTGGGCACATGCTTATGGAGCTAATCAGCTTTCTGTAGACGGGCTAATGTCCTTACAGTGGCTGGGGGGGGGGTCTATATTTAGTGTCCCCTCTCCCTCTTAACGGGGGATCACATTGGCTCTGTTCTCCTTTCCGTAGCTCATCTCGCTCTGCTTAAGTTCATCGAGAGGCAAATGAGGGAGGACTCAAAACCGAGGAGGAAGGCGGCATAAATCTGTGCGCTCGAAATGTCACAGAAATGACATCGGGTTATAAATCACGGCGGCAGGCGAGAGAACAGAAAATCGGCATCAGAGAGAGACAAAGGGACGTGTTTTTTTCCGACGACATCTGAAGGCCGAGGCTTTAGAGCAATGCAGCCAATCATCTGCCACGTGTCACCGGGGAGCGAGGCTCTGCTGGAAATAGGGTGTGTGCATCGTGCGTGGCATCGACCTGCTGCTGCACACGCTAATGGGGTTAAGTTCAGCCGACACGTCGAGGCCGCTCAGGTCGTTGACCTGATGGAGATTTTTCCACCGTCCGTCAAAGCAAAAAAAAAAACCCTAAATGCCGCAGCGATGTACCTCAGCTGGACTGATAAATAAGGAAATAAGGTAGAATTTATAATAAAATGTCACGCAGGTTGTTTTCGTAAGTGGTGTTTGTGTGCGTGAGAGTGAAAACAAGAAGTGAACCGAATAACTCGTCTGTTGGTCTTTTTTTTTCTCCTGCTTTTTAATTCTCAAGTTTGACACAATTATCAGATCATTATTTTCATTGTCCAAACGGGACAGCAGTTGAAAACAAGTACAACAGTGAAACAATCTCTTTGGAGCAACATAAAACCCATTGGAAACAGCTCGGAGCACAATGAACACAAGCATCTCAGCACAGCCGCCACGTCCACCGAGTTCATCAAAGTCGCACACAGATATCACACAATACTCAGCTACACAGCTTTGAATCTGCCTGCTACATCAGCCGAGAGAAAACTGTACAAAAATAGAGGTTGGTAGAAAAATAGGACATCTGACATGTTTGAGAGAACACGCTGAAAGTCTTGCACTTGTAAACCTGTTTGCGTCCACGATCAGGCCCTTAAATATCCACGTGATGATCTTCATCCATTGTTTGGTACTTATCCATTTAAAAAAGAAATGACAGAAATAACAGTTCAACAGCCAAGATTTGCTCATGCAGCCCACATTTCCACACACCCTAAACTCTCACATCCCAGTGAAACCTTTTGGTCTTCATGCAGCACATTTTATGTAAATGACTCTTCTCTGCGGGATACACCTGTTTGCAGCGCACACAGTATGTGTCCGTTTTTCATTAACTACGTACAAATTGTGTTGAAAAATTATCTTGATGATTTTATTTATATGATACGAAGAAGAAAGTAATAATGTTCCAGCGTAATTTGAGGAGTTTCTGCCGGTTTCGGAATGCATTTCAAATACACGGATGCTTTTTTCTTTCATTTAAAAGTTAAAGTAGCCCTGCAAAGTTTTTGGCCACTAGTAGCTTTACGGAGCAATTCAGAAAAAGAAATAATATAGATCGATTTTTAACTATTTATATCCTCCCATCCATTTTACAGTATTTAATGGATGACTCATCCTGTCATAAAAGGCAGTGAAGAAGAAGCCGACTATGTTTAAAATAGTCCAAGAATCGGCTTTGCAAGAGGAGGAAAGTGCACTTTACACTTTTGCACAATGCGTTTTGGTGATACAAAATGTAAACAAAACTGGTTGTTTCTTTCAAATCAAAACTTCACAGGGCACCTTTAAGTTAGTGTGAGTTGTATATTTCAGATTAAAATACATTTTTGAAACATACAATATATATTTGACTGCACAACGATGACAACGATGCATTTTGAAATGCAAAACTTTCACGTATGAAAACCCTTTTCTTCATCCCCCACAGATGATAAGATTATGTGAATATCTTTTCATTTCATCAAGACGAGCACTTGACCACCTAATTCCTCCGTCACATATTTCTTTGACAATCTTATATGCATTTTTGATCCGGCCTCCTCCCCGACCCCCCGACCCCCCCCCCCTCACTACCGATGATGAGATTATGTCGCGACTTCCTCTTTGGTAATCAGGATGTGTGTTCTTCGAGCGGGATTGCAGATAAGAGCAGAGTCTTTAGCTAAACATCTAAAAACTCTGTTGCACTGAGCTTAGACGGCATGGGTTAACGCTGCTGTACATTCATTCAGTACCTGCTTGAAAATCAATTAGGCGGCCCAACAGATAAAGAATCACCAAATTATCTCTTCCCTTTTCGGCTTCAACTCAGGCACTTAAAGAAAATTATTCCTGTACAGAAATAAAGCGTGCATTGTTTCGTTGTTTTTTAGTCTCAGAACTCAGATAAAGTTGAAAATCAAAGTAAGTCTTTGGATTTGTAAACAGTATCCAATTCCTCATTTTGCATTGTCTGTGAACAGGAGTCCCACACAAACACACGGCGGCGGGGGCGGAAGCTCGCCGCAGGTCGACCACGAAGCGGCAGCATCAGCGCATCGCGCGGGTCCTCCGCTAATAATCTCTGCGGCCGCATGACGGTTTCTTCTGGGCTTCTCATCCAAGAGGATCGTTTCAAACGGACAGGAACAACAGCAACACGTGCCGGCCGCTGCCGGCCCACCGAATCGATCTTCCAGGAGAGAAGCCTGAAAAGTGATGGGTCAGCCTCCATTCCTGGCATCTCTCCCAGTGGGCTTAGCTCCTCCTGCTGTGGCACCATAACCCCAGGAAAGCCTTCCTCTGGCGCGCCGCCATCCATCCAGATTCCTTGCCCTCATTTCCCTCGCTTCCTCCTTCTCTTCTTTTATCTGTCCAGCTTTGCATTGTGCTCCCGTCTCGTCTTCCCGGCTCAAGAAAGAGACACACCTGTCCATCCCTTTTTAAGGAGATTCCACCGTTTACCCACAAGTACGTGACGGTTTAGTTACAGGGTAACCAGGTGCCGTACATGGGGTGGTGGTGATGAGGAGGGACGTAATGCTGGGGAAAGGAGGGAGGAAACGGGTAGATGGGCTGAACCTGCGCCACGTAATAGTTGCTGAAGTTCCCGTCCGAGACATAAGGAGCCGGCTGGTAGAAGCAGGTGACGTTGGCGGCGTTGGGGATGGCGTTCTGCTCGGCCAAGACCCGCAACGCCAGCGAGGAGATGAGGCTGAGCGTCTGGCGCCTCTCGTGGCCCATCAGGCACACGGTGCTCTCCTGCACCACCTCGTACAGCGTGGCCAGGTAGTCGTACTTCCGGTCCTCCAGGTCCACGAAGTGGTTCTGAAGGTAGGACTCCAGCTTCCGCCTCTGCTCGCTCACGTCGGGGAAGTCTATGAAGAAGCGCGAGCACATGTAGCGCTGCAGCAGTTTCATCTCGCTGTCGGAAGCTGCGCGGAAGCCCCGCACCAGCAGGTGGCAGTACTTCAGCAAACCCCCGCCTCGGATCTCCTCGGGGCTCCTGGTGCAGATGAGGCGCTTGCGCAGGTGATCGAGGGCGGTGGGGAAGTCGCCGTAGACGCTCTCGCCGAGGATGGTGGGGTGGAAAGTGGCGGCCATGGGGTGCTCCGAGCACTCGTAGAAGAGCAGGAGCGAGTCCAGGCGGATCTGGAAGGAGTCCACGCTGAACTCGAACTGCCGACGGAGGGAGTCCACGAACTTGAGCTCCACGTTCTTGCCACGGTTGTTGGAGAGGGAGATGAGGCTCCAGCGGTCCGAGTCGTTGCACACCTTCACCATCTTTTGCACGTAAGCCTCCTAAAACAAGCGCAAGTGAAACGTTAGGTGACATCATGTATGCAAGTCATTGTTTGAGTCCTTATGTTGATACAGGTATACATAGATTATTCCATATCACATGAACCACCGGACACAAGTATTAAGTTAACCTAAACCATCCTAAAGGGATTTGACCATTTATTGTATATATATTAAAAGTGCTCAGATGGTAAACGTAATCAGATGGTAGGTTGCAGATTTTTTTTTTCTCAGTGTGCATCAAACATGTTTTGTTGGAAACCACTCGTGCCCTGATGTTTTACAGTGATTGCACTGTGGGTCTACTGGATAAAACATATTCTGAACCAGCCTGAGAAGGCTCCAACAACTGGGCATTAATGCCACCGGATAATAACCTCGGATTAGGTGTGCAAGTCGTGATGTTTTGTAGATCACATCTGTTGGTGGGCCATTAGTAGCCCGGGAGGTCCTCGGTATCCAGGTAACTGATTGCCGATTTAATGATGTGGATGCGATGGCCATTGGATTATACAGAATCCTCTTTGTGTTGGAAAACAAGCTTTCTCCACTATTTGAATGCGTATATATCTGCGCTGGTTGAAGACATTTGGGGAAGTGATGATATGCAGACACTTTGATGTCTTTATTACGAAATCCAAAAGGCTTCGGAGCAAAACCGTTGGAGGAGAGAATTGTGAAATAAACTCGCACCGCGGGGAGTCTTGCACATTCTAACGTCAACGTTAAAGCTCGCTGTCACCGTGGTCAGGCCTGGCCAATAGACACGCGTCTTACAGACAAGTCCCGCCCACGACATTTCACCCCAACAGCAGACAAAACGTTTGCATTCCCATGAATTAATACACGTCAAATAGATTTGACTTGCATTAAAACATTTAGATTTCACTTCCGATGTTCTGGTTCGGTGCTGCTCGGTTTCATGCACAGTAAAGACGCACATGCAACGACCTGAGGATCTACTTATTGGAATGTATTGATCAATATCTCCATAAGCTACCTTTAAGGTGACCGGTGTGATCTTCTCCTTATTCACCCCCTCCGGCAAGAAGTCCAGAAGCGAGTCCAGAACGATATCTTTCACGATCTGAAACTCCATCTCTCCCTTGAGGTCGGCGCAGAATATCAGGTCCAGGTCTTTCCATCCCAGCCCGCTGTCCTCGTGCAGCACGTAGCTGGCGGCGGAGCCGTTCAGTCGCACCTCGCGGACGTGTATCCGCTTCTCCTCCATGCGGCTGCGCACCACGTTGACGATGTCTCGAGGCTTCACCTCCAGCGTGGGGAAGCTCCAGCGGCCGTGTATGGGGATGGAGCCGGCGAGGATGGTGTCCAGCCGCTGCACTTGCTCCCAGTTGAGCACGCTGAGGTTGACGCTCTCCCCGTCCGGGCAGCCGTCGGCCGCAGCGCACCCGACGCTGTCGTCCATGGTGCGAAGAGGCAGACGGGAGGGTGTAAACGACAGAAACTTTTCACGAACTCCCGCGGGGAGTCGCGGCCGTCAGCCAGCTGCAACTTTGTGAAGAATTGAACGCTCGGGGCCGACGTCTGTCATTACAACAACGTGCCGGAACGTGGAGGCGCCTCGACGCACGCGGGGAAGAGCCAGTTGCTTGTTCCACTTGCAACACACAGGCCGTAGTCCAGACAAATTGTGTTTATTAGCTTCCCAGCCGCGAGGCTCAGTCACTGCCGAGCATCTGCTGCCCCGCTGCGCGCTCCACTCCGCTGCTGCGCCGTCGCCAAACTCCAGACATGGACCGTTTACGCCGAGACGGTGGTTCCTCGCTGCGTCAGCTCGTCAAAACGTCACAAAGGCTCAACGACCCGTCCTTCGCCACCAGCACAAACGTTTCATCCATCAAATTTAACTTCTGCCCACTTTGACTCACTTTTACGCACCGATTATTGCGCGTCCCTGCTGCGTAACGTCAGCTCGTTCAACTTTACGCACTCGTTTAAAGTTGCCGCAACACTTTCCCACAACACACCTACTTTCAGAAAGTGGTGTAAGGCGTCTTTTCCTTTACATTTTGGCCGATTGTGGCTCGTTGGTACTGCGTGATGCTACAGAGGTCCCGCTCCACAGCTGCTGGAGAAATTGTGACCAAAGTGCTTCCCGTCTGAGAGGAGTTTGGGCGGGTCGGTGTGATTGACAGCCCACACCCACTAATAGCTGCCTGCGCTTCTCATAGTTGAGGCTGAAGACAGGGGGCGTGTCTGGGGAATCGGCGTTATGAGAAGGGAAGGAGGCACCTCACCAAAATTAGCCTTGAATTGATTTCTTTGCACTCCTCTCCAAGCGCATGTTTACTCTCGATAACAGCATCACAAATGTAAATCATATCAGCCCCAAGTTGCAGCCAACAACAAAAACAGCTGTGTTTGCATTATGATGAGCACCTCTGATGTGTAGTACGTGAGCCGTCCGTCAGCAGGCAGGCTGTGGGCCACACGGTCTCCAGGTTAGTTGTCATGAAGAATCCATCAGCACAGAGCTTGGCATGGATATCTGCGTCACCGCAGACGGGATCCATAAACCAGCTTACCCAAGATTAACCTGTATGCGCTGGCCCGCACACTCACAGAGGTGCACGTATGCATGCACATATATGCATACACACTCAGCCGGCCTGCAGGTGATACCGTGCTGTACTTACTTCTTACTGCACGCTCCATTTCTAAAACATTTAAAAGTGTACTTTACTGCATATTTCACAATACAGTTCTTTCTGAACATGTATATTGTTCACTGACAGCACCGCCTCTGTCAACCACTTGAGGCCTCAAGGCACAGACGGCACATATTATACATGTGTTAACAATATGGAATTCAGGGGAAGTTCACTGTAAAGTTTCCGTTACGTTTGTTCAGCGGAGTGTTGTGCGACTCGTCTGCACTTCTTGGTTCTGGCCTGAATGTCGCTGCGTGAACTGTGAACGGCGCGTCGGCCTCCGTTAAGTGAAAAACAGCAGGTCAGCGTCTCTCTGCACTTTCACCATTGACTGAGGCTTCCTGCTGGGGATGCTCACCGTGGAGCTGCTACTTAACTGACCTTCTGACTCGTCAGGTGGATGACACTGGCCTGGTTTCCAACGTGTGAAGACATCAGAGGATTGGAGAGCGGATTTCAGATGGCACCCACGTTGACCACACCCCCTTTACACTCCGAGGGCTTCATTGAAAAAGTCGAACAATGTGAACACGCCCTGAGATCTTTGGCTGCCTGCTTTCCGATCACGTCTGAAGCATCACCTTCACCCTTTGGACCCGTCTTATGCTTTAAATCTCTTAACCTCTCCCCCTGAAAGAGTCCGGCCTAACCCACTCTTCCTCTTTTTAGCTTGTTCCCCATTCAACCGTTCCCACACGTAGAAGTTAATTAAGAGATTACAGTGAGCCCGTTAGCCGAACGTGCCTCCACTCTCCTTCGTCCATCCCCTCACTTCTTCAACACCTCATCGGCAGAAGACAGGCAGACTCCACTTGGGCCACATAACAAGCACTTCTCTACACTTTCCTAGTCCACCAGAGGAATGCCCAAGGTGGCGCTGATTTCATCGGCGACGTCACGGCTCACGGAAATTTAAGATCTGAAAATGTTTTCGAGAGAAGGTAGAAACGGCATCAACAGCTTCAGGTCACTGGGCTGGAGCCTTTTGGTGGTACATACGCCGTAGCGTTGGTTCATTGGGGGACTTAAACAAAGAATTAAGCCACATCTTTCATTGTTAACACTAAAACACTAAACACCTTCATACATTCATCAACCTCCTGTTAATGAAAAGAGGAAAACCTTCAACTTTTTACTTCGCCTCATACGTTGCGTGCGTGCATGATAAAATATTCTTGTGTTACGGCATTTTATTATCAAGGAACTCTTTCAAATCATCTTGGGCTTGTATATTACGTTGTGAACCATCATTTCTTCTCTGTATTGGGGTCGGTGCTCAAACCGGTTGATGCTGATTTCCTCACCGTTGAAGCTGCTGCCTTCTACTTCAGCACAACTAACAATTCACAAACGGGCCTTCCCGTTTCTGCGACGGCACACGGCATTTCAACCCTCCGCTTTCCGCCTTCGCACCCTCAGAGTGGTCCCGGAGTGCTCGGCGGCGTGGCTCATGACACGGCGCGCACGCACAAAGACAAACCCCCAACGGTATTTCCAATCAGTTTTAACCCTGACCTCAGTAGAGAACTTTGCTGAGTAGTAGCGTAAGCCCCCGCTAAACTCTTCAACAGCCACTAATGAGATTCGCTGACGTGCCCCGCGCTGTAAGCCACCCTGCAGCGCTCCGACAGGCCGCTCCGCGGGCCACTGTCTCCATGACACATAGAAAACCTAAATGACTGATTAGAATTAGAAGAATAGGGGAAATGGTTGAGTTAAACGCCGAGTCGCATGTTGCGTTATTAACTATCTCATCTTATCTTATTTGTAAAAACATTAGAGTCACAGGACGACAAACCGTTTTTGTAATCGTTTCCATCTTTAAATTGAACTTGAACACGGTGTTGTGTTTTATCATCGTTACATAACTTTCTGACCTTATTCGACTATGAGCATGTTCAAGATGTGCATCGATAAAGGAGACTATGAAAACAAAATCATTAAAGGGAAATAAATCATTCAAAAATAGCATGTATTATTTGTACAGAGAAATGACTGCAGCCCCAGAGGTTCATTCACTCCCCAGACATCCATGTTCCAACGTTTGGCAAAAAGATGCTTCTGCTTTCCTGACCTGTCATGACTGAGGGCAGCAAGCTGCTGTGCTAAAATAAACAGGAAGTGAATCGCAATATCTGTGACTGAGCTTCCTGTATGATACAGAGAAGTCGAGACCTCACTGACACCACTGTCTCATGTAAACAGACACACAGACTTGCATCATGAAATGTCTCTCAGCTGGGACCAAACATTTATAAGCAGTCTGTCCCCCCCGAGGAGTCCGGGACCCCTCGGGGGGCAAATTGAATCTGAGACGTAGGTAAAAGATATCAAAGCAGAAATTAAGACTTTAGTTGACCTGTGGATATATTAAATATATATTCGTGGCTGGACTACCAGTGACAGGCACTTGATAAATACAAATAATGCATATATAGAGTACATAGCTTTTGTTTGTATATACTTGTTTATAGCATAGATTTTAAGAAGGTTTTCTATGTAAAAATCTCACTAAAATATTTCTTTGTTCATGTTACAAATTCCAAGTACAATGTATGGCAGATAATGTGTTCAGCCAATGTGGCCAGAATCCATTGCAGATGCTTGTGCTCCAAAAGACAAGAAATGTACTTGGGTCGTCGGTATCTTCTCTCCCGTCCCTCCCGGGTCCATTGGGAAGCTCTCAGGTGGCGTGAAGGCGCCACAGGGCCATCTGCTGGATGTCAGGAGACGACCCGCATGAGACGCACCTCGCTAGGCGGCGCTCTCGTCCCGTCTTCCACTGTTTCCCACAGACAGACGGCACTGAATGTTTGCTGCAGCTGTGTTGAGTAAACCGTGTCATCTAGGAGCCAACTTGGTGATTTCATCCTTTAATGTGGCAAATGAGTAAAGTGCACTAATGAAAAGGCGGCAACCAGGACAACATGAATTCATTAAGTGGAGGTATTTATGGATCATTGACATTTTGTAGTTATCTGCTTTTTTTTCTCGTCTTTCCGACCTGCGACCTTTATGATGATGTTGCCACAGTGACACCTCACAACAAGCTTTGTTTTGAAGCCGCGGCGGCGATGCCAAAAGGTTGAAAGAAGTGTCTTTGTGTGCGCGCATTCCTCAGACCGTTGTAGTGGATCCTGATTATTGACTTTGTTCATGTGCACATTTCCATCTGCAGCCTGTTTACTGACAGCACGAGTGGCCTAAGCCATAGAAAATGCTGCAGCGACACATGAAAATGACCCAACTCGATGGAAAAAGTCACAACTCGCAACTTTACAAACTGTCAGACTAATGAAACATTAGTTTCTCCGCCGCCGGATTAAAGTAACCAGAAATTAACCAGTAAACTAGCTGTAAATAAAGTAAGATCAAGTTGAAAAACTGAAGCACGTCTGCATAAACAATCTCACACGTTCACACATTTGTCTGCAACTTCCAAGTCCGAAAATGTTCATATAATATATTAGTAACAATAAACCGATACTTTGAAAGTTCCTGGACTGCGTTTTCAGGAAAAGTATTTATTGCACTGAATTGTTTGCTGTTGCCCCATAAATATTTGCTTTGTGTTGTATAATGAGATCCTTTCCTGTTTGGAGCCGAGCGGAAACTTGATAGTCGATTGACGAAATGACACAACAGGGAATATCTTCCATTAAATATATTTCTCACTGGTGCTTTGCTGTGTAGAAGGAGAGAAATTGACTGAGTCTGTTTGAGCAGTTTGCATTGAAATATGTTTTTCAAGCATAATTGACCATGCGGACTGTAGATTCAATATGTATGTTACCGGTACTCATCTCAGAGTTAGTATTATACGTCCAAGTAGTTCCTCCAACATCCAGCATCTTTAATAGATGCATAAAAGACACACGCGGCTTGGGTTTAAACATAAAAACGGAGCTGTAAAGTTTCCAGAGAAGTTGGAAGTTGTCTACCGTCAACTTCTCGTAATTTCTCTTCTCAGAGTTAAAACAGAAGCAACGTGCTCTTCTGCGAAATCGCTTCCTGATCCGAGCGCTTCACCGGTAAATTTCACAGATACAAGCTGATAGTGTCACTGCCACGTGTACTGAGAATAACTGCAGTGTACCAAATGTTCCAATTGACTTCTGTCGGCATCAAGTAAAACGCCCGTCTTCATTCGTCACATTCACGTTTCACAACTTTTGAAAAGGGCTTTCCACAAACTGCTGCTAGCGACACTCGTCTCATAGCCTGTAGGCCTTGTAGGGGGGGGGGGGTGAGTAGTAATGAACTCTTTACGTTTGGTCACAGGCTTATTCAAGGACACCAGATTCAAACCCAAGTATTAACCGGCCAGTGTCACTCGCGTCAGTTTCAAGGTTCATGGAAGGATTTCAAGTGTTCACATCTGCTGCTGGTGGTTGGATTTGGATGCGCAGCGCTGAGTGACGACAGAGAGTAAACAGCAGCGCAAACCGTCGACCCGTATCGCGCCGGAGGGTCTATGAACAGAAACTGGACCACACAAAGACAAAGAGAAACACACACACCAACAAAAGAACCAACAGCGTCTAAACACACGCCTCCGCAGATTCACACATCTGTTTCGATTTGCATTAATAGAACAACAAACTTCCTGCTGTTGGAGGGTGAAGCCACATTTTCTGCAACGTCGGCGTCCGTAAGCAGCTACCAAAACCCCCCCTTGTACTTTACTGAGAAACTAAAGCTAAATTTAGTTTGACAACATGTCAAATCTCATTCAAGTGAAAACAAGTTGTTGGGAAACCACGGCACACTCTACTGTTTTCTGGGTTACTTCACAGTCACAGGGGGGAAACCCGGCGTAACTTTTTTGTTCCTGTTCCCTGAAACTTCATACATCAAATACTGCCTCACTTCTCCTGGAAAGCTTTAAAACAGAGTTTGTTTCTTGAGCCTCATCCTTCAAACCCTGGAAAGTAAACAGAGACGAACATCCTCCACGAAGCTGCCAGACGGTTCATATGCAGCAATGTTGCAATCGTGTCTCAACCCATTCTGTGGTTTGTTCTGTTCGGCGCTTAATGCTACTGGTCGATTTTAGCTTTCAGCGGCATGCACTTAAAATCCTAACCCTAAAAAATATCCCAACACCCAGACTCAGCAGGTCACCTGGATGTTAGTTGGACTGGTGCTGAGGGGAATAACTTTCTATGAAGCTGCAAAATCCCACTTCAACTTTAGAAATGGATGTTGTACAACAATCGGTAAAGCTTTGTCATAAGGGAGCCAAGATGAAGCAGCTCCTCGTCTCCTCCCTCTGTGGCTTCTCAGCTCGCTCTCCATCACCGGGCTTCCAGCTGGAGGAGAAGAGATGTAGAAACAGAGAAAGACGGAGCAGAAATAAAGGGCACAGCTGAGATTAGTAACTGGAGGATGAGTAAAGGGGAAAACAAGGGGAGTTTAGATGCGTGAGAAAAGAGGAACGAACAGGCAACAATGAGTCATCCAGCAGCCCAGAGCACTAATGTAGTCCTCCACAGACTTATTAAAAGAAATCTTATTATGTCAGCTTGTTCGCATTGCTTGCTTTCCAGATCTTAAGCTATTTAATCATCTAGGATAACATACTTTTATTTCATTTAACTCATTCATTCTGTTGCTGGTGTGCTTTTAAAACACTGAAATGTCCAGTTTAATAACAACAGTTTGAGAAAATCCCTTGTTTAGTTTAACAGCCAGATTTCTACCACTAACTAACAGTGTTGTAAATATGAAGTGACTCTGCCAGGTGTTAGTGTTAGCTTAGCTGTTAGCTTGATTTTCTCATTCTCCGTGCAAAGCTAAGCTAACTATCTCCTAGCTGAAGCTCCATCTCTTCCATGGCAGCTCTGAGAGTGGCATCCATCTTCTCATCCAACCGCCGACAACAAAGGGAATGAGGGACTTTCCAAAATGTTCAACTATTGATTAAACTGTAGAGCAAAACCAGGACTAAACTTCGCTCCACTGTAAACAGTCTCTTATAAGATGGATTTAGTGGTGAGCTGGAAGTCATCTTGGTGCAATTTTAGCATCTAGAATCTAATGGTAATTTGAACAGTAATTTAAAGTGCAAGATGTAATTTATATGTGTATTTTTGTTTTCAGGGTCACAAACAATTGATCACACCGCTGCACAAACCTGTCAACATGCACGTTTCAAACTGCTTGTCTGCTGAGAGTCCGGATAACCCTCTTTTCATAACCAAAAACGTGTTTCCCATCATGACACGTCTTGGCGGCAGCACACACACTGAATTCCGCGGGTTAGTCGTCCTTGCATGGGAAAGGGATTCTTTCTTTGTTAAGAACTGGCCAGAGAAAACCTCTCCTGGGCCCAAAGGAGGCGCTGGGGGAAATACTGAGTCACCAACAGCACGTCCACAAAGTCTCTCCCGCAACTGGCCCGAACCTTTGGTTGGACTTTTGTTTTTCATTAAAAGTGGTGTCTAGACAGAGATCAGCACAAAAAAGGCCGTCTCCTCAGCCCCCGAGGGCACGGCCTGCAAAGAGCAAGACCCCCCTGGTCCCGTGTCACTTCCAGTACCGCCGGAAATTAATGAAATTGGAGGGAATTCTTTTTTTCAAAAGTTAACACGAAAGGTGAAGGCTGGAGAAAATGATGGATGAAGCTAAATAGTATGAGAGGCTTTGGTAGAAAAACAACAAAGGCTTTATTGTACATTATTTTAAGAGTGACTGAGCAAAGTCAAAGAGGCTGAATGGAAAATTAATTGAAACATTTAATAATAACAGAGAAATGATCTGTAAGTTATCTTTGGAAACACACTGCTGCTGTGTGGGGGAGGAGGTGGGGGGGCACTGTTCATTTGAAGATGACATTAAAGATCAACAGAATACGATCACATGGAGACAGAGATAATAAACACTGTGGCAAGTACTCAATTCTGACCCTAATAACAAATGCATTTGTACTTTACTTTTCCCGTTTCAAGCCACTTCATAACTTTGCTGTATTTCAATTGCTAGGAGAATGTTGAACATTTCAACAATACATTTACACTTTAACAAAATGCTGTAAATTTACGGTGCATTTCTAACGGTATCTTACAGTATGTCATAATAACTGTAACATACAGTTAAATTTCGATGTCATGAATAAACAGTTAAAGCTGTCAATTTACAATAATAGCAGACTACCGTAATTCAACTGCATGTTACATATATTTTATGAAGTGGTGGAAATTCACATACAAGTGCAGTGAATCACAATCCATCTACATCTGTTGTAGGTTAATGTGTGGAAGCCCATGTCAGCCACTGACAAACAGGTCCTGTAAGTCATCATAATGAGATACGATGATGCCTTTGACTTACAGGACATTACTATACATGCAGCTGTCACTTTTATCCAAAACGCCCATGGTTTGACATAATTTATGTGGAGTAATTGGGGATTAGGTGTCTTGCTCAGGGACACTTCAACTTGGCACAGGGAGCAGCCAGGATTCGAACCACCGACCTCGCGCTGCACGGCACACCCTCCCTTTCCCATGCGCCGCCTTCGCCGTCATTTCAGTGGCCGGAATGTAAAGATTATAAATATTTGTAATATTCAAAGTGTTCATTGCCTAATAGTAATTTGAGTGTTAATCGTGACCGACTGCTCCTGAACGTGACATCAGACGCGTAATATCAGTTCATCCAGAACACCTGTCAGTTCAACATGGGAGGAGTCTCTCATTGCCTCGTCTCTCCAAGTAGTTGGTAAGTGTTATTTGCCTTCATGATTAACGTTCTCCTTCCTTACATCTTGTTGTCTTTCTCATCTTTGTAATTTTAATATTTTACCAATGACAGTGTTTCTAAATATTTAATTTTGGTTTGTTTTACAGAGGCTCTGGATTAAGGACGCCAGCCGTTTGCTGCGGTCAATTGAAAGTGTTCCATAGCGTATTGTTGCAGTTAGTTTACCTTGTTCCTAATAATTTTATGATTCGTTTTTTTATTATTGTATACATGCGGCATATTTTGTTCTTGGTAGCAAATGCCTAACATTTTTGTCTTAAAGGCATCTAATAAACTCTAGCCACAATGACCGAAATGAGTTTGGTTGTCTTTCTTTAATTTGTAGGAAATTAAATGCAAAAGTATACGTTATAAGTAAACGGTAACATTCTGGTATTTATAACACAAAAACAGTAATCGTATGGTAACAAACTGTAATCCAATATACGTCAACATACCGTATATTACGGTAGGGCACTGTAAATAAAGCAGTAAGTTACTAGCGTCAACTGACAGTATATTGCAGTTAATTCACAGTAAAATTGGTTCAAGTTTACGGTAACATACAGTAATTAATTTTACGGTAACATAGTGTAAAAAACATTTACGGTATTATACCGTAAAATAACGGTAAATTCCTGGCGTCCTTGCTGCCTGTAAAATACCGTTAATTTATGGTGACATTTTTTAGAGTGTGTGTAATCAGCAAAGTTGTTAATTACATACGAAACATATAATGAGCTTCTTGAAATATTCACACTTTAAGTGCATTTTGCCTGCTTGGTGATAAAACTTGGGCTCTAGTAATACCAATAATTAATAATTAATAAAGTGTTTTAGAACATGGCATGCAACTATACATTAACAGTTTGTTGGATTTTTATAATATACAAACAAAAGCAATTGAAAAAAAGGCATAAGGGTAAGTTATGTTAAGTTTCTACAACTACTTATTTTGTGCATTATACTTTAACAAGGACCCGTTGTTGCTCACAGTTGATTTTAGAAAAGATGTTGATGTTAATCTAAAAAATCAACAAACTGCAAGTTGAATTTCATTAGAAATCCAAAGGAAAAACAGATTTTTGTTGTTTCTCTCATCATCATTGAGTCAATGGTCCTCACTGTATTTCTTTCGTTTTTAAATGTTATATTATATTCCCTTGAACGGCTTCCGCATTAACAACAGCATCCATGTTCCCTTTTTTTGCAGACAGTGCACATGTTTCTGGAAGCAAATGCATAAAGAAGTGGATTCATGAAGCTATTTACAAACACAAGTGCTCCAACAGTGTTTTGGATGTTCGTGGCAGACTTCAACATGTTGTCATCATTGCGTGAAATAGCTGCAACCACGAGCATATTCGTGATGTGATACGGCATCCACAGCACAAAAAAGGTCACGATGATAATTGTGAGCAGTCGTGTCGTCTGTGGGTTGGTAAAGAACGCCGCCTCGTTCACTTTTCGCTGCAGGCTGATGTACGAAAATACCACAATCGCTATTGAAACAAATCCTGGCAGAGACTCAGTCAGCAGCACAGCCACCTGCTGGGCCGGAGAGGAGTAGTGAGGACCGCAGGTGGTCCAGTGGTCGACGGTGGTCGGGTGTTGAATCACTAAAGAAGGGACGGACAGGATCATCGCAGTCAGCCACAGGAGGACCAGCATCCTCTTCCTTCCAACCTGACTGAAGCATTTCTGCAGCTTCACCACCTGTAGGTAGCGCTGGACACCGAGCGCCGTCACAGTCAGCAGGCTGCCATAAAGGCTGCAGTAAACTTGATATGTCAGAAGCTTACAGGTCACCAGGCCGAAGGTCCAGCTGTACATCGAAGTGTAAATCCACAGGGGCAGAGTGAGCAGGCAGAGAAGATCTGATACGGCCAAATTCATCACCAAACTCTGGCTCAGACTGGACAGGTGCTGCCAGTTTGGTCTGAGGACGATCACAGCGATGTTTCCAGGTACTCCCAGCAGGAAGCAGACGGACAGCACCAACGCAGGGATCAGACTGGTGGAGACCCAGGCGACAAGAGGTGGATGTCCATCAGAGGAGGAGATGTTAGACGGGACAACAGAGTTGAGATCTTCCATTCTGCAGACTCGCTGGCAGGAAAACCAAACACTGTTCACTGAGCGATTGAGGAAGAAAACTGTGTCAGTTTGATCGTCATTTGATGTGTTCACAGAGGAACGAATAACAGATGCACTAATAGATGCTAAGGAACTGAAATCTTACCCGGGTTTCACAAGCTCTATTTTGGTTTTGCATGATAGCATCATCATTATCTGAGGCAGTATCACGTATTTAGTTTCCTGCATATAGACCTGTCACATCATCAACTCAATGGAAAAAGCAAAGACTCCTCAAACCCAGCAGACTCCGTCAGCCGCACGGCCACCTGCTGGTGCTCAAGTGGTCGAAACACTAAAGAAGGGACGGACGGGATCATCGCAGTCAGCCGACCCGATTGAAGCATTTCTGCAGCTTCACCACTCACAGTCAGCAGGCTGCCGTAAACGCTGCAGTGAACCAGATATGTCACAAGCTTACAGGTCACCAGGCCGAAGGTTTCAGCTGTACAGCAAAGTGTAAATCCACAGGGGCAGAGTGAGCAGGCAGAGAAGATCTGATACGGCCAAATTCATCACCAAACTCTGGCTCAGACTGGACAGGTGCTGCCAGTTTGGTCTGAGGACGATCACAGCGATGTTTCCAGGTACTCCCAGCAGGAAGCAGAGGGACAGCACCAACGCAGGGATCAGACTGGTGGAGACCCAGGTGGTAAGAAGTGGTTGTCCATCAGAGGAGGAGATGTTAGACGGGACAACAGAGGAGTTGAGTTCTTCCATTCTGCAGACTCGCTGGTAGGAATACCCGCTGGTATCTGGTGTCTGTTATACTGTCCTCTGAGCAGGTTATGGGGGGGAAACTGCGTCTAAGGAACAGTATGTTCACCTTTGCTGTATCCAAACAGGAACAAGGTACAAAGATACTGTTTGATGTTAAAAGTTACCGTGGCTAGACCTCTCAAATACCACTAAAGCTCCGGAAAGATCTACAATGTCACCTGACAAAAAGTCTTTATGTCTAAAGCCCCAGATAGACACTCTCCAAGTGAAGCTTTTGTTGGTAAATCTCTTTGTAAATAACTTAATATGAATGAATATACGCTGCATGTACGCTGCAGCCACAGCCAAGGACAAGGGCTGCAGCGTGTCCTCCGCTCTGCAGAGAGGCTGATCGGCTGCAATCTGCCGTTCCTGCAGAACTTGTTCGCTTCCAGGTCTCTGAAGCAGCTAAAAAGATCATAGCCGACCCCTCTCACCCCGGACAAAACCTGTTGGTGCCCCTTCCATCTGGCAGGAGGCTGAGGTCCAGCAGGACTAAGACCCCGGCACGGGTCCACTTCTCGGGCTACGACGCCGACAAAAGCCCGCCGGACGGCAGCGGGGACGAGAAGGTGGTTTACCGTTTTTGTCCGGTGTCCAACCAGTCGGAGCATTTGATGTACCAGCGCTGTGACGCTCAGCAGGGGGCGGCAGGTGCAGGTGTTTACCTTCGTCTGAGGCAGGAAGTGGGAAACGGCGGCGGGAAAGGGAAGTGGCGGCGCAGGGTGGTTGGGGTGTTTTCAGGCCACCGCTGGGTGGAGGTGGACGGAGGTGGACGGAGGGATTTCAATGTCGCAGTGAGGATCACGGCGGCCAAATATGCGCAGATCTGTCACTGGATCCATGGAGATCCAGATCTCTGTAAGGAGGTTTGACTGCTCTTCGGGGGCCCGTCCGGGCTTCTGTGTTTTTAACTAAAGAGTCTCACGCGCAGTTCTCAACTTTTACATATTGGTTGAATGTTCACTTAAACTTTAAATCTGGAAAGAAATGATTAGTTGTGTTTGTGCGTGTGAGTTTGAGTGGTGAATGAAAACTGTCACAACAAGCAGCAGGAGAGCACCTTGTTAACCTCTTGGTGTACTGCATGCAAACGTCCTAGCATTGTTTCTTAAGGCTGCTTACTGTGACCAGCCTTAATAAACAACGCTTAATAAAAAAATTACTAACCAGCTTCTGATCTCCTTCTTAATACCTCATTTTTGGTTCTTTTATTTATGTGTATTTATATTATGTGTATCCATTATTTTGCTTTGAAAGGCTACTGTTACGCACTTTATTTGTTGCACTTTTTTGTTTGATAATGAAAAATATTTTTCCACAGCAATAGTTTTCTGGTTGAATGTTCAGCTCAAGTCTAGAAGGCCCCACAAGTCATCAGCAGATGAACATGAATCAGAATAAGTTCAGACGGACCACCCAAAAATCCACTAGAATGCATGAAATAACATCTACTTAAACCAGAATGTCCTGGGGGTGGACCTTCAGCTGTGTCTGCTTCTCAGAATGTAATCAATGTTGTCCATCTCCAGCAGCCCGCCCCTATCAACCACTTTAGGCCCCACAAACCACCAGAATGCAGCGTACAACATGGGTACTACGCCAAGTGAATTCTAATTTCCTTATATTTGAGCCACCAACGTGTGTGGCTGCGTGCGCGGCAAAATTTTGGTCACCCCCGACAAAATCTCACTCCAAGGTCTTTTGAAAAGTTGGCAGCTCTAGCCTTCATTTGAATACTTAGCAAACATTATTTATCCACGTTCTTTCTGTTGGCGAGAGAAGGAGCTCTGAGAGTATTGGGATGCGTCCTGGTGCAGTATCACTCCACACCAGCAGAGGGCACAACAGGGGCAACGGCTCCACTCAATACTGCCTCTGGTTACAGACTGAGAGGTATTTACAAAGAAGGCGGGATTTTTTGGTTACGTCTACTTGCCTTTTTACAACTGCATTGTTTGACATAACTAAAAATATATTATACACTTTTGTCGCAAAATAAAGGTTAAAGAATATATGTATTATCAATTATCATTTAAAACAGTCCAAAATGCATAAATACATTTGAATACAGTTCATACATTTTTTTTTTTTTTTTGAACAACCTTTTTAAAATGTTCTTCGACATACTCCATGCACATTTTTTCTTGCAATTACTTAGTGAACCTCATGCAGAAAAGGCTGAACCACCACAACACCAACACAGAGTCAAACCCGAATCGTCGGTCTGGGAGGCGACACCACTGCGCGCCCTCAAATGTCTGTGGTTAGAATTAACTTATGACTCCATTTTAGAATATTTTTTTCCAAATGTAGGTTTTCTCACTATCGTGTCCCCTCATATGACTATAGTAAGAATTTCATGACTTTTTTGCAAAATATTTTTGGGGATTTTTGAAACGTTTTAACATGTACTTGCTCATACTAGATAAACATTTCTTCTTACAATTACTCGAGTGAACCCCGTGCAGCATTGGGCTTCACCACCGAACACAGAGGTGCCGTTGAATACAAACCGTCGGTCTGGGAGGCGACAGTGTGAACCACTGCACCAACGTGCCCCCTGAATATTTAATTCACAGCTGCAAAATAAAAACTACACCAGCTGCCATTGTCCAACTGTCTGCAATAGACCGCCAACTAGACACACACTAAATAACCTTTTAAAAAATGTAAAAGTAAAAGCATAAGAAAATGATAAACAAATTATTACAAAAAACAAATATTCATTTGCAAATGATTTAAATGTTTAAAAGTTTATTTTTTTACAAAATGATTTAACAGCTCTGTCCAAGGACCAGTTGTGTTCAGCTCACAGTTGATTTGAGGAAAGATGTTGGATAATCTAAAAAATAAATGATTAAACTTCAAATTGGATTTTAGTATAGTTTCCAAAGAATAAAAATCTGTTGTTTCTCTGATCTGTTGAGATCAGAGAAACAATGGTGGTCAACAAGTCAACAAACAAACAATGGTGGTCAACAAGTCAATAACCTCACTGGTATGTGTTTTTTTGTAAACGGCGAGCGTCCGCATTAACCAAAATATCTAAGTTCCCCTTTTTTTGCAGACAGTGCAGATGTTTCCAGAAGCAAATGCATAAAGAAGTGGATTCATGAAGCTATTTACAAACACAAAGACTCTACTTATTCTTCGGCTGTTCGTGGCAGACTTCAACATGTTGTCATCATTGCGTGAAATAGCTGCAACCACGAGCATATTCGTGATGTGATACGGCATCCACAGCACAAAAAAGATCACGATGATACTTGTGAGCAGTCGGGTCGTCTGTGGGTTGGTAAAGAACGCCGCCTCGTTCACTTTTCGCTGCAGGCTGATGTACGAAAATACCACAATCGCTATTGAAACAAATCCTGGCAGAGACTCAGTCAGCAGCACAGCCACCTGCTGGGCCGAAGAGGAGTAGTGAGAGCTGCAGGTGGTCCAGTGGTCGACGGTGGTCGGGTGTCGAAACACTAAAGAAGGGACGGACAGGATCATCGCAGTCAGCCACAGGAGGACCAGCATCCTCTTCCTTCCAACCTGACTGAAGCATTTCTGCAGCTTCACCACCTGTAGGTAGCGCTGGACACCGAGCGCCGTCACAGTCAGCAGGCTGCCATAAAGGCTGCAGTAAACTTGATATGTCAGAAGCTTACAGGTCACCAGGCCGAAGGTCCAGCTGTACATCGAAGTGTAAATCCACAGGGGCAGAGTGAGCAGGCAGAGAAGATCTGATACGGCCAAATTCATCACCAAACTCTGGCTCAGACTGGACAGGTGCTGCCAGTTTGGTCTGAGGACGATCACAGCGATGTTTCCAGGTACTCCCAGCAGGAAGCAGACGGACAGCACCAACGCAGGGATCAGACTGGTGGAGACCCAGGCGACAAGAGGTGGATGTCCATCAGAGGAGGAGATGTTAGACGGGACAACAGAGTTGAGATCTTCCATTCTGAAGACTCGCTGGCAGGAAAACCAAACACTGTTCACTGAGCGATTGAGGAAGAAAACTGTGTCAGTTTGTCAGAGGAACAAGATATCGTCATTTGATGTGTTCACAGAGGAACAAATAACAGATGCACTAATAGATGCTAAGGAACTAACATCTTACCCGGGTTTCACAAGCTCTATTTTGGTTTTGCATGATAGCATCATCATTATCTGAGGCAGTATCACGTATTTTGTTTCCTGCATATAGACCTGTCACATCATCAACTCAATGGAAAAAGCAAAGACTCCTCAAACCCAGCAGACTCCGTCAGCCGCACGGCCACCTGCTGGTGCTCAAGTGGTCGAATCAGTGGTCCTGAGGTCCATCAGGACTAAGACCTCCCGCCACACCAACATTTTCTTCCCGTCGGCAGTCGGGCTCATCAACAGAGCCGGTCCCCCACTGACTGACTATGACACTCCACCGGTCACTCCCCTTCACACTGCACACGTCACTTTAACTGTCATTCATCACTTTGTCATCACTCGTCACTTTGTTACTTGTTCGCTAGTGCACATTATGCTTAATATTTTTTTACTTTTTTAATATTTACAATTTTTTATTTGTCTGACATATTTTGGCAATAAATGATTCCTGATTCCTGATATCCTTCTAATAATCACTGTTTCGCAATAGTTGCGGAAACTGCAAAAAACATTTTTGGACACATTTGCCAAAAATTGTCATCACATAACTGAAACCTTCCTTCATGCTTGCCCCCCCCTGGCGGACTCCCCCTTTGTGCTCGTGTGCTCGTAGCTTGTTCCGGCATCGGAGTGGGATGTAGAGTTCTATGAGCATCTTGCACAAAGCTGCTCCTCACGCTGCAGCCGGGAGCCGTTTGGATGGAGAGTTTTTTCATTGATGTCAATTAGAACGTTTACTGGACGTTTTGGGGATTTTCTTTCTATTGTTGTGAGGTAAGAAGAGACATTTGTTTTGCTTGTCATATCTTGTCAAACTAAAGTAAAATATTGTTTAAAAATGTAATGCTTTGTCTTTTTTTAAATCAAGGATTTTTTTCAATAAATTGATGTTGTAATAACGATAGCATTGCCAGCATTTTGAACTGTATCTTTAATTAATTAAATTGCAGACGTTGGTTGATTTAAAGTAAAAACAAACGTTACTGTTGACTGGTTTATTGTTTAAACTGAGCTTCTACTCCCTCTGCTGGCTTTAAAACCAACATCAACGCTACAAGTATGAGATGTGGGAACATGCATAGAGTTTCTTTCTCCACCTGATGAACAATTAGATGTTATTAGATGGTGTTTTGTGTCACGGTTTCTCTTTTGTTCTTCTCAGCAGGATGGGATTCAACCTGTGTGTGTGTGTGCTGCTCTGTGCAGCAGCTCTGACCCTCTCTGCAGCTCCAGGTAAAGATGAGGACAGCCAGGTGCACAGGTGGACCAGGCAGCGCCTCCCGGTGCTGCTGGACGCGCACACAGAGCCTCTGGGGTCGCCCCGGTTCAGCCGGCAGGAGGAGGAGGAGGAGGAGGAGGAGGAGGAGGAGGAGGAGAGAGGCTGGCCAGAGACACTCTGCGGAATAGAGTGTCAAAGCAGCCTGCCGCCTCTGGACCGGAGTGAGCAAGAGAGGATCCTGGGATACGAGACGATGCACGCCGACGGCGCGCGCACTCACACAGATGTCATTTTGCAGGGCTTCAACGAGACCTCCGCGGGGCCGCCGGCCCGTCCACCGGCTCGCGTCCGCAGGAGACGACAGGTCTTTGGGGCGGATGGGCGATTTGTCATCTCCGATTGGCGTTTCATCACAAACTACCCGTTCTCTACCGCTGTGCGCCTCTCCACAGGCTGCTCTGGAGTCCTAATATCCCCCAAACACGTACTGACAGCGGCACACTGCGTCCACAACGGGAGGGACTACCTGGAGAGGACCGGCAGGCTCAGAGTAGGGGTGATGCAGCTGAAGACTGCGCGGATGAAGGGTGGGAGGAGAGGAGGGAGGCGGAAGGGCGGGAGGAAAGAAGCAGGGCGGGGAGCTGAGGAGCACATCACGGAGGAAAGGGTGGAGCAGAACAGTCTGGATGGAAATGTAGCGATGGGGAGAAGATGGGGAGGCAAAGGCAGGAGGCGCGGGGGAGGAAACCAGGGGGGGGAGGATGAAGCCGATCATGGGAGTGTGGGAGGCCTCGGGGGAGGAGGAGCCGCAGGGAAACCGAAAAGCGCCCCCCGTGTACCACGTAGTGCTGAGCCCGGGAAGCGGCCCGCCTTCCGCTGGGCGCGAGTCGGGCGGACCAGAATCCCTCAGGGATGGATCCGCAGCAGCCGCTCCACGCACTCGGTGGCCGCCGACTACGATTACGCTCTTCTGGAGCTGAAACGGCCCCTCAAGCAAAAGCACATGGAGCTCGGAGTGGCCCCCTCGGAGGCCCCCCCGGCACGGGTCCACTTCTCGGGCTACGACGCCGACAAAAGCCCGCCGGACGGCAGCGGGGACGAGAAGGTGGTTTACCGGTTTTGTCCGGTGTCCAAGCAGTCGGAGCATTTGATGTACCAGCGCTGTGACGCTCAGCAGGGGGCGGCAGGTGCAGGTGTTTACCTTCGTCTGAGGCAGGAAGTGGGAAACGGCGGCGGGAAAGGGAAGTGGCAGCGCAGGGTGGTTGGGGTGTTTTCAGGCCACCGCTGGGTGGAGGTGGACGGAGGTGGACGGAGGGATTTCAATGTCGCAGTGAGGATCACGGCAGCCAAATATGCGCAGATCTGTCACTGGATCCATGGAGATCCAGATCTCTGTAAGGAGGTTTGACTGCTCTTCGGGGGCCCGTCCGGGCTTCTGTGTTTTTAACTAAAGAGTCTCACGCGCAGTTCTCAACTTTTACATATTGGTTGAATGTTCTATGGTATAAAATAGGACTTAAAGCTTAATGGAGAGAAGCAAGCTTCATGCAAAGTGTCCTGAGTGCCGACTGCGGTCGGGTCAGTTGTCAATACAGAATGCTCTTAAACAGCTGATAGCACTCATCCAGAGGGATTTAGCGAGATACTGTGGCGCTCCCATACAAAGTTTGTTTGTATAAGAACATTTATGTTTGTTTTTCACATATTTTAAGAGTGTGGACGTATGGACTTTATTTCATTTACAAAATAAAATGTCCCCAAGATTGACAGTGTTTAGCCACTGCCTCCGGCAAGTCACACCTAACTATTGTTTTAACACACAAGTGCTTATTCTTAACTGTAACAAGAGCAAAACACAGTTAATTAAACTGAAATGTGATTTTCCACAATTATTGCTCGATTGCAAAAGCGTAAAACAAACTGGTCTTCATTGAACTTCATGTTAAAGAAATACTAAGTCTACTCTACACAACATACGTATTGGGATGTTTATACTCTGTTGTATTATTATCGTATCTGATAATGAACAGAAATGATTATGTCACCAACCCATTTTATTCTAAATGAACGATGTACAGTGAAAACCAATAAAAATGTTGAATTTTCAAACAAATCAACAAAATCAGAACAGAGATAAGTGATGAAACGTGAGGGTAGTTTGGATCAGTGTATTTGTCTTTTATTGCATCTCAATTGGACTCACATGCAGGTGGGGACGAGGGAGAAAGAACAATGGCGTCCGTAATAACCTCCAAAATAAACAACACAGCCTTCATTTGAATACTTAGCAAACAATATTTATCCACGTTCTTTTTGTTTTCACTTTTCACACTTTGTCAATGCCACAAAGGATTAAGATACAGTCACTTTTGGAAATAAACAACACACAAAACATCCAGCGTATACTTGAGTGCTTTACAGTGAGAGTCCTCGAGACAGGAGCAAAACCGCCCGCTGCTGCCTTGCTCAAAGAGGGCCGAGATCACACACCAATCACGTACACAGGTGCCTCCTTGTCCCTTTGATTTCCACCCTAACGTGGCCAGAGGCGAGGGAAGGAGCTCTGGGAGTATTGGGATGCGTCCTGGTGCAGTATCACTCCACACCAGCAGAGGGCACAACAGGGGCAACGGCTCCACTCAATACTGCCTCTGATTACAGACTGAGAGGTATTTACAAAGAAGGCGGGATTTCTTTCTTTTTTTTGTTACGTCTACTTGCCTTTTTTCAACTGTATTATGTGACATAACTAAAAATATATTATACACTTTAGTCTCAAAATAAAGGTTAAAGAAAATATGTATTATCTATAATTTAAAACAGTCTAAAATGCATAAATAAACTTGAACACAGTTCACAAATTTTTGCATGTTTCATAAAACCACTAAAGAAAAAAAAGGGGAAAAAAAGATTTTAAAAAAAGTGAAAGTGAACACAATCAGCTGTGTTCGTTGATAAGTCCAGATTCCCAGTTGTTTTCAGATACGTCTTGGAAGTCGGCAGGTGGGTGGATGAATGGCCAAGCAGATATTGGTACAACCAAGATTCCGATGACATTAACAAAGCTCAGTATTAGTTTGGACGACAGGGGCAGAAGAGTGAGGATCGGCCAGTGAAGATACGCACACCGAACACATTTAACAACACGGCCCTCGTCTGAGAGATGCCAACATTTATCCACCATTCCAAGTCAGCTGATATGCAAAAAAACAGAATGAATCTAAATACACATTTATTTATTTTTTTGTAATTTTTTTGTCATAGTATATTAAGTAAAGGTTAACACTGAGTTACACACACACCCACACACACACACACACATACACAGAGTTTTGTTTTTCGGTAACTAGGGTTCACATTCACAGTTGTGCTACAACATTAGATAAGGAGGGTGGAGGAAGGAGGGGGTGTTGTGGGTCGCGGCTGGTGCGAGGTCAGAGGGCAAAGATCGTATAGGTGTGATGGCTGGCTGGCTGTAGGGGCTGGGGCGTAACCGAGGGGCAGGCAGTGGGGGAGGTGCAGCCATCCACATCCACAGAGTTCCAGACACAACGACAAACCTGCAGAGGAGAAAGAAAACGAGAGCAGGTTCAAACCAGGGACGACGGGGGGAAAGAGAGGGAGCTCCCGAGACAAACACAGGACTGTGATCCAGGACACCGAGCAGAGCTACAGGTCAGTCTACACGTAGGCACTTTTCGAAATCAATGTTTTAGAGGGAATATTCACAGTACATTTGCACTGTATTTCCTGTAAATTCCTGTAAAAAAATACACTCCTACAGTTTTCTACACCACCTTTTCTACATTTCTGGTCTCCAAGGTTGAACTGAGATTGGCCTGACGACTGCCCTGTGAAACCATCAGAGGTTGTCCTCTCAGACCGGACGGACAAAGACCCAAAGAAGTAATCATATCAGCATTTGATTACACATTCAGGGTGGATTGTAGTCAGTCGAGACTGCAGGAACTTGCACAACCGACACCAAATACACGTTGCGTCTTTAAATGTACTTTGTACCTCGGGGGCTCTACGGGCCAGTTTGTCTACATGAAGTCCTTAATGTTGAGGTCGTCCAGAGCGTTCCTCGGTGGTGGAGGCTTTCTGGGGCTCTGGGCCGCTCCGGGAGACATCTGCAGACACAGTTTAGACGCTTAAACCCCTTTGGTCAGAGCATCGGTAGCGTTGACACAGTGGATGGTCATGAGCGTGTATGATGCAGCTCAGAGCGAGTGGGTTACCGGCGCTCCAGGAGTTGCCCCGGTGGCAGGGAAGCTTTGCCTCGCCATCGGCATCATGGGACCCCCGGCCTTACACGGACAAAGACGGAAGAAAAAAAAAGAGTGAGCGAGACACAATAGTGGCCGTCTGCCGGGTGTGAGGGCCACCGAAAGAGGGAATTGTCCATAAATGTCCAGTAATGTCCCGACTTGTCCAGGGGCATTACTGGACCCTTACTGGACTGGTGGTCTTACCATGCTGAAGCTGGGGTAAGTCCCCATAAAAGGAGGAGCACCCATGGGTACGGTCTAAAAGTGTGGAGGGGAGAGGAGGTGTAGGGACGTTACGACACTACATTTAAGACAGACACACACACGCACACACACACACGGTGCAAAATAATACAAGACACAAACGCAAATTCATACCTTAATAATCACATAATGCGTAAAGGACGTCTAACAATACTGGACGATGATGGTTGAGACGGACAAACAGCACAAGTCCACAACAAAAATAACACAACAGGAGCCCCCACTTAACCCTACCAATAAGAGTCCTTGATTTACACATGCGCCATGATTAAGAGAGCGGCGACAAAGCTTTGCGCTGGTGGCCTTTGGATGAGTACGACATTTCTGCCGTTGCCAGATAGACAACTGAAACATCCAGGAGAAGCAAACGTGTGAATCAAGCGCTTCAGCTACGAGGGGGAGAACCGGCGGGCCCGCCTGGACTTTAACAGCCTTAAAAGAAACTTAAGAGAAGAAGAAGCCGTTTCCAAGCACAGCGTCCAATTGGCCACTTCACTGCTCTCCAGTAGTTATTCCAGAAAAATGAGCCAGACTGCATGTTGAAATCTGCTCAGTGCTGGATGTGGTGCATGTGTTCTCCTAGAGCTGAAATCCACCAGTAACTCATAGTTTGCTGTAAGTCTTGCTTCCCTTTCTATGCCGCCCCTGTGAGCCTCTCAGTGTCCTCGCCCTAGGGTTGGATCTGGAACCTGGAGAGCCACATGAAGGCCATGTTTGTGATTGCTGCTAAGCCCTGACTGTCGCTTCCATGCGGCTCCACTCCATGCTACAAGACACAGACAACATTTACCATGGGAGCACCCCAACAGGGGGGAGCTACCTGAGGTGCTGCTGGGGATCCCATTGAGAGATCTGAGAGAGAGAGACAGAGAGAAAGAGATGCTGCTAAGTCACTGTTTTCATTTAAGCTCATTATAACATTCACATCATTTTTTGAATGAGAAGATCGATTTCCAGGTCAAGCATTCAAATCCAGCGCACAGACATCAGGGGGGCATCAGTCGTCTCAGCCAACTCTCACGAATAATAAGCGTGTTTGAATGAGCACCTGAATGACTACTTACTACTTGCCATGTTGGCCATGGAGGCGTCAACATCCCCCGCCTGAGGGGTCAGAGTGGGCTTCATTACATCCCCTAGTCCATCAAATACTACAGAAGGGAAGGGGGAGAGGGGGGGGTTTGGGGAGAGAGGAGGGAGAGGCAGGGAGATATCAGCATCTTTCAATGCAAGGGATCCTCACACCAGGGATTACCATGACGACCGATAGATGTCTCCATGACAACGGAGAAAAGAAAGTGCCGTTGGAATGTGAGCCGCAGAGCAGGTTAACAAAACCAAAAAGGAAATTAAGCCGCTTTAACAGCAAATAATAGAATTTCAATAGATTTAGATGATGATAATTAGTTTGTCATCTGCTAAACGAGACATCTCGTAGGTCTTCTGCTGAACACATCATTCGCAGTGTGGGGCAGGAAGAAAAATGTATGTATATGAAGCCGAATGTGTGTCCACGTATGTGACAGGGTATCAACCACATGTCAGGAATACTTTTCCAGTGCGTGTTGGTAAATTTGAATTACTTATTGCATGTGTGTGATTACTGCAGGGACGGAATTACGAAACGGGGGAAAAGGCACGAAATAATACTGTTACTTCACGCTCTCTGTGACCGTCAAGCATCTCGTGGTGGGAGGGACAGTGCAGCTGAGCGTGCCTGGCATCTCACCACTGCAATGCAGCAGTGCACTGTGGGAAATTAGCGTGTTAAAGAGCAAGGAAACTCACCCAATCAAATGGCAGGAAGCAAGCAATGAGCCAGCCCGAGAGCCAGATGGAGAGGGAGAGGGAGGGAAACCCAAAGAGAGAAAAAGATAGAGGAACGTAAAATGCACAGACGCCAAAGAGAGAGAGAAAAAAAATGGGGTTTTAAAGGAGCGGGTGACGGTGAAACCGGTTTATTGCATGAATGATGGAAAGAGAAGGGGAAAAGGAGTTAAGCTTTAAAGCAGTAGTATTGCAGACCGTCAGTTATACCACACGACCAATGGAAGAGGACCGTAAATGACTGGGAACATGTTGCCACGGTAACGGTGGTACGGCCACGAAAGGTGCCAAAGATCGGAGGAAGTCCCGCCTCCGACCATGGCAGTAATTTACAAATGAGGCGATGCAACGACGACAAAACCACAAACGGACAAACTGTTTGAATTTCTAGAATTCAAGAGCTTTGGTACGGAAGCAGCCGGGAACTTTTAACTAAATATCGATTTGATATTCAGTATGATAATCATAAACCAATCGTATTAACTAAAGTAGATCAGCTCGCACCAAACTATTTCATCAACCTTTACCAGAGTCAATAGAAACAGTGACTGGCCGACATCCTGTTGTGATCAGTTGAAAGGAAGAGATCAATAAAGTTGCTTTAAAACACAAAACCTTGTGAAGACAACAACAACAACGCATCATGCATTTACAAGAGGATCAACAAATGAACAAGCGAAACAAAGTTTTGCTTCTTTCAACAACATTTTGCAGGTGAGCTTTCAGGCATTTAGAAAAGAAAGTGTTCAGTTCTCAGTGGAGATTAAGCTCACGATACAAGATGCAGGATACATTTTCCATGAAGCGCTGATTTGAATAGATTTACTGATGTATTTTAATGAAATGCTCTTGGAGCCTCAGTTCAATGGCTTTCGCTTGTTTTACTGCGTTGGGTAGTCGGCCAATTTAATGTGTGAGGGAACGCCAACATTCTGTCTTCCCTTCACTGAATCAATATCAATTAAAATGGTTTTTGGTTTCTTTACCTGACATGAGCTCAGCGCCGGGGGCGGCGGCGGCGGCTGAGGCGTCTCCTCCTGTGGACTCTGGCAGGTGGAATCAAAACATACCCGACCGGGTCAAAGCGGACCGGTGAGCCGATCCCGTCGCAGCATGAGGGCAAAGAAGGGGTAATAGTCAGCCTTCGGCTTCTCGCTGGTAAAACAAGGGCTCAGAGTTAGATGGGAAGGCTGAAGACACAATGCGTGTATTTCAGTCATGGGGACACGTCTCGCCGTGCTCATTTGACAGTCCGCATTTTCAAACAGGCCAGGAAAAGTGAAAATAAACACAATATTTCCAAATAATTTAACAATTTCAGCACGATCAAGCTTCATCTCCGGCGTCTGATTCACAAATGTATAATATGCAACAAAGATACGCTGTTCCCCGTATTTCTGTCCACTGATGGAGCCTGATCACAACTATAGTTATTGAATCTGATTTTGCCCACATTCTACTCCCCCGGTGATCAATCATGAGCGAGGGGGGGGGGGGCGGGGGCAGGAGTGAGTTACCCACCACCAAACGGGTTCATGATGCCTCCGGGGCTCGGTGCGGAGGAGAGGACGGGGGAGCTGAACATGTCCGCTGGGGAGGTGGAGACGCTGTTTAGAGCACAAACGCACCCTCGCACACAAATCCACACAGACCTCGGGCCCGACACGTCAATCACAATGCACATTCATCAATTCATCAACCGCAGCGCACGCAGGACATGCTGGAAGGGGAAAGGAGGCAAGAGTGCAAGACTTCCGACAGCTCGACAGCTTCGTTAAAAGAGAGACATCTCATTTCCTTTTCTTGGCCTCTCCTAATCGAAGCCAAGGACAAAAGCAGAAAAACCAACACGGGAGGACAGGAAATGAGAGGCAGTGCGTCCGAGAGACGGCGGCGTGGGCGCACTAGGGTACCTGCCGTAAACAAGTCGACACCCGCGGCGGGGTCTGCTCTGGGGATGCTCGCGTCTGGCATGGAATCAAAGAGATCTGGAAACACACGCGCGCCCACAGACAGGAGTATTAAAACGCTCTAAACATGGCCGACGGTGATTAGTCCGATGACACCGATGATGAAAGCAGCGAGAGGAGCGACGGTGAAATCGGGAGGCTCTCCAGATTAACACCAATATGTGACAGTTACCGCCGAAAAGGTCAGCCGCAGGGTTGGCGGCGGTGGGAGCTGAAATGCTGGCGGTGGTGGTGGTGGTGGTGGTGATGGCGCTGGAGGCGGAGGTGAAGAGCGGTGAGGGTGAAGGGGAAGGCTGGGGAACCACAGAGCTAAAACAGGCATCCAGACTATTATTCTCCATCATGCCGAAAAGGTCTAGACCTGAAGGCGCTGCGTTGGTGCTGCCGTCCGCGGGAGCAAAGGGGTCTTTTGGGGGGGAGAGGAGGGTGGAGGGGGAGGAGGAGGGAGGATGTTAGCGAGTGACTTTGATACAGCACAGTAACGATATTGATGTGAACATGACATCTGGACAATGATCTGAGAGAAGTTATAGGAGAGAATGTTCAGAGCTCCAACACACTCCAGCTGTTAGTAAGCGACTAAAAATAGCATCTGCGATGGAAACAAATGAAGTGAATATGAACAAACACGACTTACTGACAACCCAAACCAAAGGACCACCTCGGAGAGCCTCCGTAACAGAAAAAGCATCAAATCAGGGGCCAAAACCATAAGAAACTAGGAAGAAACTAGGAAGCGTGGTCCCCGGTCGTCATGGCAACAACCACAGCACTCTCCAGCCGGCGGCTGTGATGAAGAGCGAATCCGTGCGCCCGCTGCTCCCACACGAGGAGACGAAGCCCGATTGAAACTCCAAACACACGGCGGCGTAAACGGGCCTGTTGGTCATTAAACATCTGTACATCCAGTCATGACTCCAACCAGAGGCGAGGAAATGTGTTCCTTCGTTTACAAGATCCGCTCGTAGGATAGTGAGCGATTTATGGCCAGAAACTGAATCAATAACAGCTTTGATTTTTCAACTGAAACTAAGAATAGTTTTGTTTCTAGTAGCTTCCTTCAGGGTGGGCTATTCTTCAAATGGGTGGTCCTTTTATCTGCAATAGCGAAGGTCTGTTAATCGATTATATTGGGTGCATTAGATTTACTCTACCTTGATTATTTCACATTTTCTTTCCATATAGAAAGTATGTGAATAAAGAAGCAGCCGTGAGGAGCATATTTAACTATAGCTTCTTTGTGCACAGTCTAGACTCTCAAAACTAGTTACTTTCCACCACATGAGTACTTTCCATCACTCACGCACACAGACACACAAGCTTTCTGTCACCCACCAGCTCCAGCGTTGGCAGCGGGGGCAGACGCGGCGGCGGCCGCGGCGCCCCCGGCTTCGGCGGCCGCCGCAGAGGCCTCGGTGGCAGGCGCGGGTGTTGCAAAGGCATCTGGGGTTCACGTGAAACCCCGGCAGAGAGAGCGAGGCAGACGAGGAGGTGAGAGATGAAAAGAGAAGATCAGAAGTCAAGGAACACGGGGAGGAAGAAGGGCGAGCATGTGGGGGAATAAAAAGGTGCGCTTCGAGTTTTTCGCCGGTGAAACGTGGTAGCTCGCTCGATTTGATATATACGACATAAATGACTGACAGGTGAATGGACGGATGGGGATACAGACAGGAGGCACTACAGCAGGGGTTAATCTACTAAGCCTGGGATCTGGTGTGTTACAGCGGCCGCCTGTAGCCACGTGACGGGGTTTGATAGAAGCGCTTTTCACTGAGATCAAAGAAAAGCACGTCTGCCTATCAAACAGGACGCATGTGGGGAATGGATGCAGTGGTATGTTTACGTGCAAGCCGGAGCATCTGTGCAGTGTTGAGTTTGTGTGAGTGCCCAAAAGTAGTCATTATTGGATTATAAGCAGTTATAGAATAATATAATCGGATGAACACTAGTAAACGGAACTGTGATTTATGACATAAAATCAAATACACAACAAAAAAACTAACTTTTAAGAAATACATTATTTTCATAGGAATAGTTTGACTTTCATAAAGCTGTTTTTACTAATTGCTCACTGAAATACAATTCATAACTTCAGGGGAGCAGCTGATCGGAGTCAGTTTCCTCTTAAACCTTTCACAGGAAACTCAATCAGGTCAGAATAATACTTGTTTGGGTTGGACCAATGTAATTAGCTTTGGGCGCCGGGTGTTTGACTGCAACGCCATCACAAAAAAGTCACATTATGAAATTAATTGTGACATGGGGTTAATGTTTATAATTAAAAAAAAACTTTTAGTTTAGAAATTGTACACAAATATGTATTTGACGCTCAATTCTTTTGCAGGTGTGCAGCATTGCATCCCTTAGAGCCGACTGCTTTGATGATGCAACCTAATTAGCAGGTGTGCGGTTGAGCATGCAGTTGTCTTTGCGGCATCGTATTTGTGTGATGGTTTCTTAGGGTTGAGCTTCGCAGAGTGATTCTTTCGTAGAGAATTTTCTGGAAGCCCACTGACCTCCCAACAGATCCATATTCGCGGCGGCAGGGGAGGAGGCGGCTGCTGCGCTAGTGGGAGGAGCCAGAGAGGCTCCAGGTTCTGCCGCTGCAGGAGTGGGCGTGGCTGCTGCAGAGGAGGGGGCGGGCTCTGCCGCGAGGGTGGGTTCAGTTACCAAGGAATCGCCCATTTCTGCGAGTACCGACGGGGTGTTCGGAATCCCCAAAGAAAGGTACCAAAACAAACCCCAAAACAGCAACCAAAATAACAACAAAAACCATCCAGAACAAAGGTCCAAATGAAGCCAATTACGTTTTTTTTTTTTTGCGTTGACCAAGCAAAGTAAAATCCAAAATTTAACCAAATTAAAGTGAAATTATCCCACACCATCCAGTCATAACCAACAAATAAAAAAAACAACCAAAAAAGCCCCCGTTGTAAACCAAAACAGACGATGGAGTATGTGGAGGAAAAGGGAAAGAAGGCAGAGAGAAACAAAGAGACGACTCAGACTAAAGAGAACAGCTCGAGGAGACAAACAGGGAGGAAACCATGTGACATTTGTACAACAACAGTCTGTCTATAACTTTATATGGAATCAAACATCAACAATGGCCCCCAGGTCACCTCAGTTTGAGGCGTCCTGGAGACGGGTTGTCTGGAAGTGAAGAGCAGACACTCACCTGAACCAAGAAGATCTATGGAAGCAGGAAAAGAAAAGAAAGAAGATACATGTTCATGCAAAGCCAAGCTAAACTGATTTAGACGCTTCAGAGGAACCGGACGCTGAGTCGACGGGAGACTTACCTCCCCATGACGTGGGGGCAGCTGATTGTCCCGAGGGACCCGAGGAGGACAGAGGATCCAGGTCCAACAAGGAACTGGGGAGAGAATCAAAAACGGAGAGCAAATTAAATCAAGTTCATTGTTCTTATTCTTTTCAATGTGCTCTTTGCAGGAGGACGTAAATATTACTGCTACGGGAAGAGAAGAGGTCACAGAGTTTTACGGCACTCACTCTTCAGCCGGCTCAGCAGCGGCGGCGGCGGCGGCGGCGTTCTCCCCCGGAGGAGGCTGCAGTGCTGGAACAGCGTTTGAAGATTTGGCTGGAGTCGATGTCGGGGACACGTTGTTCGTCGGAGACCCCTGAAAGAGGACACAGAAAATCCCCATTTTCAAGTGGCGCATTAGACTGGGAGTGATGAATGGAGATTGGGCGAGATGTGCAGCTCACCTTGGTTGGAGACCTGAGAGGGAGACAGACGAGAAGGAGTCGTTTTTAAAGGTAAAAAAATGTCCACAATTGTGCAGGAAACGTTGCATAAAATGTGATCATGAAGAATTCATTTCCAAAGCGGTTCACCTTCTGTCAAATTGTTTTCAATACTCAAGGTTTTTCCAAATAATCAATTTAACTTTGGAAATGAACTCATGTACTAATTCACATCGCATGTCGGGATGTGATGAAAAACACACTGGTTCTCACATCACATCAATGGGCACATTTCCACGGCGGTGTAGTAATGTTTGTATTCACATGAAGATCATCTTCATACTGTAATTCTCATGTGAATAATGTGTTTTTACCCCATGGGGAAAATTAATGAACTTCAATGAAGCTACAAACCAAACACACAGAAGATGCTCACCCTTCACTGTTGATTCCAAATGAACACAAAGGGGGATGAAAGAGAGGAAGGGTTAAAGGAAATTGTAGAATTGTACCACTTGTTTTGGCCCGCGCTTTCATTTTATGGAAATACAAAGAGGGATTTCCTCAGATGTGATCTAATGGTTGTTTTTTGATCCTACTTCTTCTTCTTCTTACCCCTTCTTTCCACCCTTTACATCTTCCAAACCGTTCATGTGTGTTTCCAGACTTTCCAGTATACTGCTGGGGGCCTGAAGTGAAAAAGATCAAACAAAAATAGTATAATTAATACATCCTGTCTCCTATAATGTGGCAGGATGAGCGATTCCAAGTTTAAAGTGTTAAAAAAACGAGAGGGACGAATCTCACTGCAAGACTGCAATGCATAAACACACACACACACACACACACACACACACACACACACACACACACACTTGTAACTTGTGTGTCTGAAATTCCTGTAGGATCACCATGCAGACACTTCATCCTGCAAACAGGCACTCAGCCAGGGCACCCGGGGTTTCTGTGGTTACCGGGTCCTCGAGAGGCGTAAAAGGACAGTCCTCTTCGTCTGAGTCTGCTAGATCCACTACTACCCCCGGGTGGAGACACTGGGGTGGGGAGATTTATGGAGGGTGAGTCGTGGGTGTTTCTGTGTGTGTGTGTGGGATGAGTCGTCTTCATGTGCGTGACATTCTCGGCTGCAAATCCTACCAGGAGGAAAAAAAATCGACCTGTTCTCAACTTACGTAGTTGATGTCGGGAATGTCGTTTTTCTCGACTCCGACTGTCTGTGGAAGGAAGGAGAATTTTAAATCTTCGTTCCCACACTTCGCCACGCCGCTTTGTCGTGACGGAGCGCCGCCGGTCGCCTCTTACCTCGGCCAGCTTCACGAACTCCCCGATCTTTGTCACCCTGGTCAGGAACCTCTTGTAGATCTCCAGGGCCTCCTTACAGTCGCTCTTCTTCATCTTAAAGTATTTCTCTGCCAAACAAAAGTTTTGCGCGTTCACATTCTTTCCTCTACACGTTTTCAACTCTGAAACGCCAAGCGAAAGAAAGCCGCTGACCTAATAGGTTGATGACGCCGTCGTTGTAGGACGCAAACAGCTTGACCAGGTCCTTGAAGAGCAGCAGGAAGGAAGCGTTGATGATGCCATTGTTAAGCTCCTTGGGGTGAACCTGAGAAAAAGAAAAAGGGGCTCGTGTGAACCGGAAGCTCCGGGAAAAACTTCTGTCTGGTGTTGAAATAACTGACTCACGTCAAACTCCAGCAGCGTGTCAATCTGAGTCTGCAGGACGGGCATGCCTTTCAACAGCTTCTCGGTGGTCATGGTCCTCATCACACCCTCGGCACTGAAGGAACACAACAGAGTGTGAGACGCTCCAGGGGGGGTGAAGTCAGTGAGCCACGGCCGAGAGCGCTCAGAACGCCACGTCCCACTTACCCTTTCTTGACTCTGGTGAAATCAAAAGCCATCTGGCGGTAGGCGAAGGCTTTCTCGTTGAGGTATCGTCCGTACCGTCTGATGAATGTAGACATATCATAGCCTGCACGGGGAAGCCAGAAAGCAGACAGAGTTCATTCATTTGGCTTTTCTGCCAGAAATGAACAGCAATGCTGTTTGAGTTCATTTTTCGTATTAAAAAAGGATATTTCTGTTGCTTGTACACATTCATTCGCTATGTAATTTGTCAGATATTTTGATATTTTATTACCGTGAGAGCCGGTTTTGTCGATAAAGTTGCTCAGGTTGAACAGGGATGTCCTGGAAGCCAAGTACTGAATGAACCTCTGAGAAAAATAAAACATGAACATTAAACCATTATCAAGGGAAATAGTGGGAAAGCTAAACATTGTCGTCATAGCCAATAATTATGTATCTTGCCTCAGCACCACACACAACCCTTAAATAAGTTAATAATTAAGACTTACCTGTATCTAATACATTAAACTGGGTGAGGATACATTGAGTCATTTATTTAAAAGAACAGTTCTTTGTGTTTAAGCTTGAACTGATGTTCGCCGTCTCCCCGGGTCTGACCTCGTTTCCGTAGATACACATGTGGTGACTGGTGACGAGGGCCTTGAAGACGACCACCCAGCTGGCATTGGTGGCTCGCTCAAACAGCGTGTCGGCCATCTGAGGGATGTTCACGTTGGTGGTGTTGGTCGCCGACACCAAGTCTGCAACACAGCGCCAAAGAAGCGGCGCCATCGACATCTTTGTGAAACTTCCTTTTCAAGGAGTGGACGTGTTTGTAGCAGGTGGCACGTAAGCGGAGCGAGCCGGTGGTTCGGTCTTAGACAAACGTCTGGCTAATGGAGTTAACAGGCTCAGTGTTCAGTGCAGAGCTGCTCCAGACACCCATGAGAATATCAGGCCTGGAGAAAGACCTGTCTCTGCTAAATGAGCCCACACACACACACACACACACACATTTAGATGTATGCAAGCATGCGCACAGTGACAACGCATAATGGCAGAAAAATGCTTTGTCAGCCCTCCTCCAGTGGGTGCCAGTTCAGACAGCGAGAAAAAGGTTCAACAGCGTCCAGACCTTCACTGCAAGGTGGAATTTAAGTCATTTCTGGCAAACTCTCTTCCTCAAAACTGATTCTGAATTGTCCATTTCCTAAAATTGTAAATTGTAGGAATTTATATTGGTGTCTTCTAACCATTTGGCCGATGTTAGTTGAATTCAGCTGATTTGTTCAAGCAAACTTAACTCAATGTTTCCAGTCACATTCTGCGGTAAACACAGAGTTTGGCGTCCCCAATGTGTAACATACAAGCTTCTATTTGTTGTAATCTATCTATTTTCATTCTTTTCATTTTACACATAAATCACACATGGCATATTTCTCAACAAAAGGAAAAGATGTATTTCTTCAACATTATGCTGCAAAAATTGCAATCTGGATGTGAGCAAGGCCCCGACTTCAATAGATAATCATCACGTCTAATTTTATATGTATTATTTGTGTGGGAGTTTCTCCTGCGCGAGAGATGGAGAGAAACGAGCAGACAGATGGCCACAGAAAACGCAAGTATAAAGAGAACGGCGGGATTTGCTCAGGCAGACGAGTAACGATATTTGACTAACGAGGTTTATTGCAGAAGGTTTTTTCCGATCAAACAGCACTATCAGAGGCCCTGAAACACGTTCGACGTGCCTGACAAAAATAAATACAGGACCACATATTGCATGTTTGTTGACGGCACAGTTGTAGCAGAAGAAAAATAGAAATAGCGGCCTGTTTTTCCTCGTCCATCCCCCTGATATCGACAGCGGAGCTACAAGGGCAGTGCCACAGAGGAATGCAGCAAATATTGGCAGGAACCTCTTATTATAGAAGCTGGGGAAGGCCGTGGTATTAATATTGATATTGGCTTTGCCTTGAGTAGACACCAAAGTGTAGACCAGAAATACAGCAAAAGGGGGAGGGGGCAGGAGAGACGGAGGAAAGAAGACAAGCGGCGAGGCGTTCGAGAGAACGGCGGGGGGTCTGCGGAGGAGCTCCGGGGTGCGACGTGTCGGATCGCTGAGGCCGTTCAAGGTCATGACATGGCGGCGGGTTGGACGGAGGGGGCGGGCTTTGTGAGGTGGGGTAAACAGATTGTTACTAATCACCCGGGTCTTTCTACAGCTGCTGTCTCACTGCCCATCCCCCGCACAGCACACGTGACCCCACCTGTTCCACACAACACGCCTCGGCTAATTGTTATACAGGCTGTCAATCACTGTCAGATTTAGTTAATTATCTACTGTAGTAGACAATATGTTCTACTACTTACAATTTCATCTTAGTTTTATCCTATTTCCCCCTCATTTAGCTTGACTTCCCCTGTGAAATAGATTACATCTCTGTGATGTGACCATCACACAGTGGCAGAAATGTGGTTATGTAACATTATCATGTCCCTGGCACAGCTACAAGTTAATATTCAGACTAGCATGAGAAGCACAGCGCTATCCGCTGCCATTCTCAGACAGCCAGCCCATAATACCCCAAATTCAAATGTTTGAATGAACCTGTTTGTCTGCTATAGTTTCAATAGCTGAAACAAACACATGTGGACATACGAGGTGTCTAATGAGGATTGGCTGAGCTAAATAAAGACTGGAGACGGTAATCCACGGCCAACAGGAGAGCTCTAAGAATGAACCGAGGCCTCACACTGTGCGAGTGTGTGTGTGTGTGTGTGTGTGTGTGTCTGTGTGTCTGTGTGTGTGTGTGTGTGTGTGTGCTACTCATTTTTTTATAGTTCCACAACAGACCACTCTGGTGTGAGCCGGAATATTCCAGTTAAAAGGAGCCTCACTCTGTGACAGTCACCACATCAGCGAATACTCTGAAGACATGAAGACACGAGGAGACGTACTTGCTCACCCATCGAGGAACAGCCTGAGATGCAACGCGCCGAGCTAACTGTTTCCTGTCTTAATGCTAAGCTAGGTCAACCAGCTGCTGTCTGTAAACGAGACCGAAATAAGCCGCGGCACCAATAATAAGGTCTCGCACAAACCCCAAAATCTAACAACACGTGTACATGTGGTCGTTAGCTCACCGTTCATTCGCTACACTTCTGCTCCTCTCAACAGGTATTTCTATTTACAACATTCATTTAAACCTTTTGCCTTTGGTGTTGAGTGAACTCTGCTTTGCTGACCTTGCATGGACCACATGTTCTCTAGTAATGTGTAACTCACACCCTCCAGTGTTCTTTTCACCGTTAGATCGCCGCAGTCTGGGTATGTCTACAGTGCACACGTGAATAAACAGGAACATGACATTCAAAAGCAAGAAATAACACACCAGTTTACTTCCAGTCCTACGTATAGATATTACCTCTCTGTCTCATTCACATCAACCACATCAGGCCGTTTGTTGTTCACGTTTTGCTACGTGCAATCAGAAGATGACATGTATATAAATGTTTCTCCACACGGATACGACCCCTGTGATGGTTCTGCTCACAGCAAATATACACTCATTGTGATTGTCTCTCCGCAATACACACGACAGGCCCGCCATTTCTCTTCTTCCTCCTCACGATTGCCCTCTGCGGTTACGCTGCCATTTCTTGACCGTCTCAATCTGTTGCCACGGCAACATCAATGGACCACCTCCACCACTGCATCACTGCCTAAATCCGCCCACCCCAAGGGTCAGTAACCGTTGATGTCCCTGGTGACAAATAAATAGATTCGCCTCTTAGTGTGTCTGTCTTTGCGTGTGTGTGATTGCGTGTCCTCATTAACTATGATTTTTTTGGAGTGGCCTACATACAGGAAGTTTGTCTAATTGCCGTAGAATTTGAAAATAATCAAAATCCCATGTATGTGTAATTTATTTGTAGCTGTATTGTACAATAATATTTAAAACGTGTCTGGAGTCACAAGTTAAAGACAAATACACAATAAAACAAAACCACGGGACACAGCTGAGAGAGTGATGAAGCGATTGTCTCTTGCTTTGCTAGCATTAGCATTGTCACCTTTGGCTGTGTAAATAATGCAAGGCAGTCATTGGCTGATTATTAAATTATTCAGCAGGGGAGCGGATCACAAGATACAAGGTCCCTACCCCAAGACACAGGACCAGACGTGCCCAGTGACCACACAGAACACGGAAAGACACAAAAAGAACCGACACGGAGGACCGTTCGGACCACCCGTGTGCCACTCTCCGTGTGCAGAGCCACTGCCTCGTTCTGACTCACTATTTATGGTCGATGACAGGGATTAATCACTAACTGTCATAAGGTGTTCCGTGCTGTCATTTGGAGACGTGTCAATAAAGCTGTGAGGTTTGATAATGTTATTCAGCTGAGACTTTATGGCATAAACTGCCCGATAGACTATGAAACCCAAGTAGGTCTCCTTCCATTTTCAGACAGCATTATCTTGGAATTGATATTTGTATTGAGTGCGTGTAACACACTCCCTTCATTATGCAGACCTGCAGGTCGTAAGCAGTGCTGGGAGAATAAAGCTTTAATGGGAGGTTAAGGGAAGCGGTTTGGCAGGAGCTCAACGAATGGAAAATAAAATAGTCTTGTTCGGAGGACGACTTGTCATTAGAAATATTAAAATATAACCCCCCCCCCCCCTTCTCCCACTCTCCCTTCCTCTCCCCGTGGGTTTCCACCACCTTTACTGGAGGCCCACACATTAGGTCACCGGAGGGGTTACCACCATGGCTGCATCAATTCCTTATGGCACCACACCCATTTAAGCTAAGCCAATTAAGAAATGACTGTGCCATGACCATATACCCGTAGTGACAAGTGCTCTCGTTGGATGCGGTGCGCGACGGGCCCAGTAAGGCCGGCACGTGCAGTGGGGGAGAGGAAGAAGCAGTACACTTACACTCCAGGTGCTTTTTCTTGGGCGCCATCACTTCGTGAGTGGTGGCTTTGCAGACAGCCCGGGCCATGTCCGATCCCGTTAGCTGGTATTGCGCAGCGGCGATGCGATCCGTGAGCGTTTGCCCCGACATTTTCTCTCCGTTGAATCGACCACCTCAAGAATGTATGTCACCCGGGGACGATTGGAAAAGAAGGAGAAAAAAAATGATAGGAAGAACGTAACCCGGCGGCGTCCCGGCGGTTCGGCGATCGAATGCCGTGCGTTCCTCTTCCCCGTTCAGATGCAGGCCCGTGACCTTCTGTGTGGGCGGAAAAAAAAACACACACACACAAAATGAGCTCAAAACCCCGCTAAACAAACATATTGTTTGCATCAAATGGCGCGGTCGCGTTGATGATATGCACGGTGATGCGGGCAGACTTACGCCAGGTTGTGAATCCCCCTCGGCTCGTCCCGTTCTACGCTCCAACCGTGCAGTTCAGCACCTCGGACAGCGAATGCCGCTCGGTTATGTAACGCTCTGGCGGCAATGAAAGCGATTCTCTCAGCCCGCAGGAAGAATACAAGAAATAGGCCAATGGAAAACGCGGTGCGAGCGAGGCTCCTCGGAGGGTCCAACAAATATTATTGGGAAATTGCGGTGTCGACACTCGATCGGTCGGTGAAATATCCCGTTTGGAGAGGGGGGTCGGGGGGCGTCAAGGTGTGACTGTCTTTCCTCGCGTGTCACCGCATTTAAAAAGAGCTTTCAAATGAAGGTTTTCAGGTTGACTCTTTCCGGTTTGCCTCAGAAATGCTGCCAGAACGACAGAAAATGCGCACAACACCCCGGTGGCGCGCCAACACTGCGCAGTGCAAGATGCTCGCGAAGAGGAAAGAACAGAAGGGAATTTCCTTTTTTTTCTCTCCTCCCCCCCGGTCGTTCGTTGATTTATTGGCCTTTCTATACGTCCATCCTGGACGTAACTCCACCAGCAGCCTCTTGGACGGGGTTGGATGACACACGTCGAGTTCCACGTCTCTCAAAACGGAGTCGCTGTATTAGAAACGCACAAACCAAAGGGTTTATGCACCGGCTTCACTGAGGCTTCTGTGCCTCTTTTTCTGAAAGATGTAAGCAGACAATATTACTGCTCAAATATTCTACGGCGCCTGTATATCCGGGGTTTAATTTGGCACACGACCCTGTGAATACAAGAGATAATCCCATAATTGCTCTATGTGTGCCTATCCATAATATTCTGGTAAATTATTTTTGTTTTTATTAACATGTTTCTAACCGGAAATGCACTAAAAGAAAATAGCTTGTTTTTATTTTTGCAAATAGAAAGTAATGTGTAATATCGAGATTATGCTTGGTTGTGGTGTTGATGGAGTCTCTGCATTAGAGTAGTGGGAGGGCTTGAAGAAAAGACACGCCCCGCGTCATTGCGTCATGTGACGTACGCGGAACTGTAGCCACGTCATCAGACGCAAAGCAGGAAGAGTTTCACAGTACAGCACTAAACTCAGGACATTCACACAACTAAACAGTAAGTGGAAAAACAACGCGATGCAGTTTTATTTATAACTTTGGTTAATTTATTTTCGCTCAGCGCTGAAACACCAGTGTTTACACTCCGTTAAGGGGATTTAAGGCCGGTAATGTGAATGTAACGTCTCTCATTCACTTGTTGTGATCGTGTTCATTCGGTTCATTGTCCACGTCCCACCGCTGTAAAGTAAATCACTGCGACCGTTGCCCTCCTCTTGTCCTGTGGCCTGTTGTTTAAAGGTTTAGTGTAGGCGTTGGTTAAATACGTTGATTAAAAGACTTAAAAAATATATAAAAGAACAAAATATTTCTCATTATATGAAAAAAAAGTTTAAAATCAATCAGCCATAAGATCAAAATGCTTCTTTATACAGTAATAATAGTATTATAAAGTGACGATGAATCTCGAATAGGAAGTTATAAAGGATCATTCCTTGTGCATAACAAGTAACAATACCTCTTTACGGTAAATGAAGCAAGCATCTGATTGTTGTGTTAAATTCATTTCTGCTTTGCTTCATTGGACCATTGACCTGCCTGTTTATGTCTTTAACACGTGTTTCAGGGATGGTCCAGTTTCAGGAAGTAACGAAGCAGTCCGCTCTGCACCCTAAACCTGCAGGGTTGGTTTTGCAGTACGGTACAGCTGGTTTTAGGACCAATGCCAAGCTGCTGGACCACATCATGTTCAGAATGGGACTATTGGCCACTTTACGCTCGAAAAAGACCAAAGCCACCATTGGAGTCATGGTCACTGCATCACACAACCCCGAGGTGAGAAAAACATGCCATACATCTATACTTTAGTATTTATTCTGTGTGGATATTTTAGATTATTGGTTTTATATTACAATCCTTACTTTGTTTATTTGATCCCACAATCATGTCTTCTTTTCTAATTGTTAATAAAACAATGTCAGGTTCAGCGTCTCTTTCTCTCGACTGATTTCATGTGATTATACCGTGATAAACAATCCTAGGAACACATCAGAATCGGAATCCTGCCCTCTGACTTCCTCCTGCCGCCCTCTTTACATCTGTCCTTGTGCAGGAGGACAATGGGGTGAAGCTGGTTGACCCGATGGGGGAGATGGTGACACCGACATGGGAGGTCTACGCCACCCAGCTGGCCAACGCCGAGCAGGACGACTTGCTCGCTTCCCTGAAGGACATCATAGAGAAGGAGTCTATAAACATGAGCCAGGAGGCTAACGTGTTCGTGGGAAAAGACACAAGGTACACGGTACATCCAGGCCACGCGAGCAACGAGTAACAGAAAGCAGAACTAACCAACACTTTAATGCCTTTTAGTGTTATTTAACCCTTCAAATACTAAAACGAGCGTGTCATCCAACTATAGAAGCAGCAGTGTGAGCCTTTCTAAGGCGGTGCTGGATGGGGTCTCTGCACTCGCTGGCCACAGCAAAGGTGGGGTTGATGAGGCTTGTTTATTCTCGCATTCATCTAATTAGTTTACTTTGTTTTATTATTCTCTATATGATTCGCCCTCTGACTCTCTCATCCGGTACCATCAGACTACGGTTTGGTGACCACTCCGCAGCTCCACTACATGGTTTGCTGTCAGAACACGCAGGGTGAATACGGAGAAGCCACGATGAAGGGATACTATACGAAACTCAGCCAAGCCTTCATTCAGCTCACAAAGAATGTAAGACAACATTGTGAGTCATTTCTTCCCGTGACATCCTTCAATCTCCGTGCACGCTGATGTGCGTTGTTTTTGCAAATTTTGCAAATCCGCCTTTTCTCCTCACCTCCATCTTCTTCCCTCTGGTAGGCGTCCAACTGTACAGACGACCAGAAGCACCTCTCTGTGGACGGCGCTAACGGCATCGGGGCCCTGAAGGTGCGCGAGATGGAGAGTCACCTGAAGAAGGAGCTGCACATATCGCTCTTCAACGACGGCAGCACCGGGAAGCTCAACCACCAGTGCGGGGCTGACTTTGTCAAAGTGCAGCAGAAACCTCCAACAGGTGCGACTGTGCTCACAAGACTCGGCAGAGGAAGCGATATAGATTGTGATGAAGACACAGACAATTTGGCCTGGAAGGAGAATTCCTTTAATATACTTAATACATACTGTAGGATGAAGAGAGGAACAAAATAGTATATATTATATATGTCATGTTATAGATGGCCACAAGGTGGAGACTGTTGCCAAAATAATGACTATAATATAATAAACAGTAACAGTGACAGTTCGGTGTCTCTGTAAATGCAGACAAATAAACATGTTAACAAGAGGGAACTTGCAGTTTAAAAAGATATGTGCTGTTTTTATTTTCCCTCCTTCCATATTGCTTTTCTCTCTCTCTCTCTCTCTCTCTCTCTCTCTCTCTCTCTGTCTCTCTCTGTGTCTCTCTCTCTGTCTCTGAAGACATGAAGATGAACTCGGGGGAACGTTGCTGTTCCTTCGACGGCGACGCCGATCGAATAGTTTACTACTACACGGACTCTGAAGGACGGTTTCACCTGCTGGATGGAGACAAAGTCGCTACTCTCATCAGCACTTTTCTCAAAGAGCTGCTCACACAGGTGAACTCACAAGTAGAAAACCCGTCTTGGATAAATAAGCACAAGTACACAAACCTTAAATAGACTCTTTCTTTCCATACAGGCTGGTCTGGACTTGGAGATGGCGGTGGTGCAAACGGCTTACGCTAATGGGAGCTCAACAAACTATTTGGAAGACACAATGAAGGTGAGAGGAAACTGGTGACAATCTTTTTCTTTCTTTTTATATGAAAGTTCACACGTTTGCTTGTGATTTAGGTGACCGTGAGGTGCACTAAAACTGGAGTGAAGCACCTTCACCACGCCGCCCAGGAGTTCGATATCGGAGTGTACTTCGAGGCCAACGGTCACGGGACTGTGAGTCCATCAGACACACTTTGATTAATTCACTAAGCTGGCACAGTAATGTCAATGTCTTAAGGCGCGTCTGGGCGTGATGTGGCGGCCAGGTGCTGTTCAGTAAAGCGGCTGAAGAGAAGATCCAGCGGCTGGCCGAGGACTCCAGCGTCGCCAACGAGAGGAAGAGAGCAGCTCTGCTGCTGCGGAGCACAATCCCCGTCATCAACCAGGTGGACACACGCACACAAACACGAGCAGCGTTATCGAAGTCACTGCCAGTTCTCACGTGCTGCTCTGTTGCTTTAATCTTCCAAAGACTGTGGGCGATGCCATTTCCGATATGCTGCTGATCGAAGCCATATTAGCCATTAAGGGTATGACTATCCAGCAGTGGGACGCCATCTACAGTGACCTGCCGAACCGGCAGCTCAAAGTCAAGGTACTCAGGCATTTATGTGCCATGCGGGGAAACATGTATTCTCTGAAGTCCTTCAATTTCAGGGAAACCGTTTAGCTTCTGAATATTCTACCTCAATTAAGACGTGTGTCCCAGTTCTCTCTGTGCGCCCTCACACTTCACATCGTTCAAGAGCTGCTTCTGATGGAGGTTTTTTAGCAGTTTAAAAAATACAGCTTGGTTGGGATTCTTTGAATTGACAAGTTCATCAGCATGAAACCAAAACACTTGTTATGAGACCTCAAATTTGACTAATTTGACCATTTTTATCTTCACTAAAAAGTGAGGTACCTCAGTTTGATATAACCGTGAATGAAATAATTCTGGAGACTTAAAGACAGTTATTTTAAGTTGACCTCTTTTTGCTGTTTGGTACATACTTCTCCCTCCACCTGGATACACATATGTGACATGTGCATACAAAGTCATATTTCCTCTTGTGCAGGTGGCGGACCGCAGGGTGATCGACACGGCGGACGCAGAGAGACGGGCAGTGAGCCCGAAGGGCCTTCAGGAGGCCATCGACAGCCTGGTGAGGAAGTACCGGGAGGCGCGCTCCTTCGTGAGACCCTCCGGCACCGAGGACGTGGTGAGAGTTTACGCCGAGGCAGAAACGCAGGTGAGATTTTCTTTTGGAGTTTTCTTTGTGATGTTTTTATCTGCTCTGTAATGCATCACAGGTATTGTGTCTGTGCTTTAGGAGAGCGCGGATTCCCTCGCACACGAAGTCAGCCTCGCTGTTTACCGTCTGGCCGGAGGAGTGGGGGGTGAACCAGAACCGTTGCACTAGAAACCTTTTAAGCACACTCAACACAACACTGATTAATCTGTGCTTCTCAAATGCAATCCCAGTAGACATTATTTTCTTAAATTGTAATTCATCACAATTGTTTCTTCTTGGTGAGTTGCCAAATCATTTTTTTACTCTTAATTGCACTCGGTACTTTAATCTACTTCTTTCTTTCTTGGTACTCATCTGTCGTCATGGATATTTGGAGACAACGATGGGTTTTAATGGTATTACTTCTCATTTTGTTAAAACCGGCTGCTATGTGCCTGTGAATTATGGGTCGCTATGTGATGTAAATAAGCTTCGAACTTCTCTTCATAAATGCCATTATTAAAACATACATTATCAACCTAAACAAATTAAGAAAGTTTTGATTGAATATTGTTATTATGGGGTTTCTACTAACTGCAATATTTTTACCGGTTACTTTATGTCATTTATTAAAAATCAAGTTTACATGGGGGAGTTATAGAGATTGGTCTTGTCAGCTGGAAAGCCGTTGCTACTTTTGTTTAGTAAATGATGCAAACAAAAAAAATGTAATGTCTGTGTCTCTTTTTGTTTGAATGAAAACCACAACTATGATTGCATGCTGTTTATTTTGTAACTTTGAGGAGCACATTTATGACACACGGGAGGATTGAATTAGCAGAAAAGCCGGGTGACAGTGTGAGTCCTTAATATCAGGATGTTGGACCTTCCCAAACCCAAGAACGAATGTCCCGACAAACATTCATCAAGGTTGCGTCAATTAACCTTATTACAGCCGTTGCGATAATCTAAATAAAATACATTATCTTTTGAGTAACGTTAATTGAAATGTGCATGCCTACACGTTCTGTATATATCAAAGTAAAGTCAGAATATATTTGACAATTCAAATGATGTTGATTAATTGAGAAATCATCGAAATGGACTTGTAGAAAATTATATATATTTTTGACTTTTTAAAGGCGGAACTCAAATTCCGGAACCATTTTAATGGAGTTCTCTGCGGTTCGTCGGGAGGTTTTTGATGTGACTCCCGTGTCTGCTAAGCACAACAACATTGGCTCTGCTGTCTTGCCTCTTTGTAGCCAAGTTGCATCACTTAAAACGCCTCCTTCTCTACCTCTGTACCTACTAAATGGCGGGGAACTTCTGGCAAAGTTCTCACTAGTAAGTCTCTTCTTTGAATTTGAAATGTTACTTCTTTATTCTGCGGCGGCGCGTCTGTGTTGTGAGGCCTAGCGTCACCGGAGCGCTTCAGCGGACGCGCACGCTAACGGTTCCCCCCGGACTGCGGCGGTGACATTTAAAGACACATTATTTACAATAACCGCCAACACGTTAAAGCGAAACGATGTTCTCGTTTACACCGAATGTTCCTTCGGTTGTGGCGGAGATGTATGAGGCTGAACGTGTAGCGACACCGACGGGCTACTTGCTAGCTCGCGCAGCGGCGGTTGGAGGAGACGTGAGTACGTTGAGTTAACGCGTCTAACGTGTTCGCTTCCCTAAAGTCTGCAGTGGGTTCTGGACAAGCAGGACCTGATGAAAGAGCGCCAGAAGGACCTGAAGTTTCTCTCGGAAGAGGAGTACTGGAAGCTGCAGATTTTCTTTGCCAACGGTATTTGTTACGTTCGTCTGACAACATACTTTCTATACATGACTATTGCATTATTCTCTGTCTTCCTTTTCCTTAAGTTATATCACTCTTTGTCTCTCTCAGTGATCCAGGCTTTAGGGGAACACCTGAAGCTTCGGCAGCAGGTCATCGCTACTGCAACTGTGTACTTCAAGCGCTTCTACGCCAGGTATCATGTTCTATGACATCAGAATCTAAGTTCGCTCTGTGCTTAATTTAGTTTGGTTATACAACCGCGCTCTCCGCTTTTGCCATTAAAGCTGCAAAATAATTGGCAAACTTAACTTTGATTATTTTCAGCAGAGGCTGGTAAGTCTTTCTGCCTGGTTTTATATCTTCATCTCCTTCTGTTTGCAGGTATTCCCTGAAGAGCATCGACCCGGTGCTCATGGCTCCTACCTGTGTTTTCTTGGCTTCTAAAGTTGAGGTATGGACAATTCTGTGAACGAGCATTTGACGCGAGTAAAGTCGTTGCTTCGTTTGTGTCTTTGCGTATCGGATCTGTGCTCAAATGTCAACGCCCACTCAGGAATTTGGAGTTGTGTCCAATACGAGGCTGATCTCCGCGGCAACATCCGTGTGTAAGTCGCCCTTTTTTTTATCATTATTCGCTCTTTGATTGTTGTTCTTCTGCAGTGGAGGTGGTGTAATCGTGTGTGTGTGTGTTTTCTCAAACAGTGAAAACCAGATTTTCCTACGCCTTTCCAAAGGAGTTCCCTTACAGAATGAATCATGTAAGTAAAGTGTGACATTTCAGGCCTTTAGATGTTATTACGCAGAACTACTAACCCTAAGTGCAACAAATAAGATACAATTAGCAGTAAAAGTGGTTAAATACTAAATGGAGCGCTGTCATGGAGCCAACTACATTCATAACGTGACTTATTAGTGTCCAAATTCGTGTGCGTTTGAGTAAGGATCAGACTTTGAAGGGGGACTTTATGTCCATGGTGAAAAGAGCGAGATGGAAGGTAATGAACCACTCAGATAACCACATCCTGGAGCATCACCAGTGCAATAAACCAACCACCCGCTACATTAGAGCATTACACTGCAACGCAGCGTCGCCAAGTCGGTGTGCGTCAATATGTGAGATTCCACAGCTAATGTTCGCGAAGCCACGGTAACGATCTTTGGCTTTGAGCACGGCTCCCCGTGCCGAGTGGTGTCCACCATCCATGTTTTATACATCCAGCATCTGCAGCGAGCTGCCGAAACGTGAGACAGTATCACGTGATCCTACCGGGTCACTACCAGCTCTACTCTTCATGCAGACCTATGAAGAAGGTGTCAATCTGGGTTGTGAAGTTCTGATTAACCCGTCTGATGTATGTATATGTATTTACAGATATTAGAATGTGAGTTCTACCTTCTGGAGTTGATGGTGAGTGTGGAGCTCTGTGTCGTCGCTGGCTGTAGTCGGCTTGCACGGATCACTTACTGCTTTCTGTTTTTAGGACTGCTGCCTGATCGTGTACCACCCGTACAGACCGCTGCTGCAGTACGTGCAGGATATGGGACAGGAAGACATGCTGCTGCCGCTGGCCTGGTACGACGCCGTCTGTGCTTCTGTCTCCTTGAATACTGGATTTACTGGACGTCGTGTGCGTCAGTGTTTGTTATCCATCTAATTATCTATCTTATCTGAACCAGGCGAATAGTGAACGACACGTACAGGACGGATCTGTGTCTGCTCTACCCCCCCTTCATGATTGCCTTGGGTAAGATTTGTTTCCCATTGCGCTTACTTGATGTAGTTACAGACTTAACATAACGTCATCAGCCGTAACATGATGTTTCCCTTCGCAGCCTGTCTGCATGTCGCGTGTGTGGTGCAGCAGAAAGATGCCAGGCAGTGGTTTGCAGAGCTCTCAGTGGACATGGACAAAGTAAGGACACACAATGTTTTTAGAATCTGAACCGATTTAAGGTTGCGACGCATCTTTGACACGTACATGAACTTCTGAAGAAGAAAAGTGAACACCTGGAATCATAAACCCCCTTTTAGTTATATTTTACGACCTCTCACTTTTAAGGCCGTGCAGCTTGATTTTAGTTCCCCCAGTTGATCACCTTCACGGGCTGTTGAGCTTCAGGCAGCGTCCAGCGGGAGGCGGAGCCTACTGTCTGCAAATGGCACCACAGCCTTTTGCTGCTGCAGGTAGTGAACGCAGGCAGTCGTGTTCATGCCTGTGTTCTAATAATGTATAACCTTGTCTTTCTGTTCTCAAAGCTTCACTATTTGTGGGACAACAGTCAGGTTTCCTTCTGTGCACTTTGTGGTCGATGCGCATGTCGTGAGATTTAGAAATACACCTGATTGCGTCGGCCTAAAAAGTCAACTGATGTGAATAAATTCCATATTCAATGGGGATTTAGGCCCAAACTGTGACAGACACGCACTGACTGTGCTGGGTAATGTTTGTTTGTTTTTGTTCTTCTGTCAAGATCCTGGAGATCATCCGTGTCATTCTAAAGCTCTATGACCAGTGGAAGAATTTTGATGACAGAAAGGAGATCGCTGCTGTGCTGAACAAGATGCCTAAGCCCAAACCCCCCCCGAACAGGTAAACCTGCCTCTGAACAGCACTCGTCGTCATCTATTTAGTAAGTTAAGGTCCACTTGTGATTGTTAAAATCTAAGGAACACTGTCCCAAATAAACAAGAACCAGAAATGGCACAATGTCCCTGCGAGACCTAATGACCCAAATGTGTATTCTGTATAGTAATGTGGTGGCATTGACTGGATTTTGGTGGCAGCGGCCTCCTTCTGTAACTCTCAGCACACTTTGACAACATAAGCGAGTAGCGGCATTCACATTCTACTAAAGCGCACACTTTGAAGGTCTGCTGTGTGTCTCAATGAGCGGTGTGTAACCTGTTCTCCTGTGTTCCACAGTGAGAGTGACCAGAGCTCCAACGGGAACCAAAGCAACTCCTACAGCCAGTCCTAGCGGCGCGCGCTCGTGTCTGTGGGGGTCCGTAATGCTGATGTAGAGGAGGGGGAATCTTTTTGAATGTCGCACAGTGTGATCGTTGTGACGTTAGCATCACATTTCAGCCCACCAAGATGCCCCTTTGTCTGTGACCGACACCCCCGACCAACCGCGTGTTCGCTCCTCCCTCCTCTGGTCGTCGTGGGTTTCTGGGTTGGACGAGCAGCCGCTGAAACATCTCCATGACGTTCTGTACTCCGCTCCGCACTTGAAGTGAACTTAAAGCTGAGGAACATGCGAGGGGGCCGGGAGGGGGGAGGGAGCTGTGAACATGGCGAGGAAATGATAAACCAGATGTGATGGTTCAGAAGAAACCTGCTTCAATGTCATCGTGATGATCCTGACAATCTTGAACAGCCCCGAGGAGCGAATCCTTGGATGTGGGATTCAAGAAAACTTGATCACACGTGTGTGTGTGTGTGTGTGTGTGTGTGTGTGTGTGTCTGGGTTGGTTTTCATTCCTCAGGGACTTTAATAGTCTTTCTTCTCTGTAAAAATGTTGGGACTGTGCAGATGTGATTGGATAACTTTGCCCTGCAAGATCTCTGCTGGCTGATCATGAACGTGGGTTCACCACTATGGTAAAAAATACTTTTGGAGTTTTTCTTTTTAATACAATAATTGACTGTTTTGAATCATGTCAACGATCTCCCCCCTCTTCCCTTTTTGTAAATACACTTATAGCTCATTTAATTTGATCCTTCGTGTTTTGGCTCTATTAGGGAATGTAAATGAAGTCATTAGGTTGTGTAGCTTTGTGCTAGTGCATCAAAATAAAAGGGCCCTTGTTTGTTTTACCATCAGGATTCTGTTTGTCCGCGGCAAAGCTTCTTCATTTAATTGCGATGGTTTCATTCATCATGCTCCTGGTTGTAGACTGAGTTGTCTAAAGATATACTTTGTTCATTTGTCAGGAATGGCCAAATACAAACTACAATCGTTCTAGATTCGCTGCAAACTTTGGGTTGTACGTTCTTATTCTTCGTCTGCCATCTATTACATTGCTTTATCGTGGCAGTGCGTCTGCATGTGACCGTAGATGTGTGTGTTTTGGGATGTAATGCGGTGGGAGCTGTGAGGCTGTATTCTAAACAAGGTGCTTGAGAGCCAATGAAAGCTGCTGGTTTCAGAGCGGACACCCTTCACGAGAACAGGGTTCCACTCACTAAATACATCTTTATGCTTGATTGTCGTCACATTACTTGGACGCATCTTTTTCCCCTCCTTGGCAAACCAACTGAAAAGGTACGAACACACTGTGTTGATGCCACTAGCCGGAAGAGACGAGGAGGACGGGGACACTGAGACAGGTTGTTATGCTTTGCTCCTGCAGCCTCCTTCTGTCCAATGACTGCACATCACTGGGTTGTATTATGTAAAGGGCTTCGCCAGGACCAAATAATCCTACTACTTCTGGTCAAACCCCAATTTCCATAATGGTTTTATTACTTGAAAGTCTTTGCCTATCATCATTTATGGTAATAAAAACGTTTGATGTGCAAAACTAAATGGTTCACTGGTCTCATTCCAGCTGTTTGTTTTCGTTTTTAACAGGAAATCTCTTACAAAAGTCATGTTCAGTCCCATTACCTAACCTCAATGTCAGCTCAGCAAAGGACCCCCAGTGGCAACAGCAAAGAATACCTGACATTAAATATGTAATATGTTCATTTTATAACGGAGGTCAGAGTTGCAGAGACATTGTCCGTATTTCCCCCGTCTGTGCTTTAGTTTAGATGATGTGAGTTGCTTCACTAAGTGGAACCACAGGGTATATTTATGTGTATTTGCCTCCAGGAGATTGGACCGGAGGGTACAGTCAGTACCCGTGACGTCACCAGAGAAACGTTATGGCAAAACCGCATCATTTCCCCTTCAAAATAAAACCAAGTGATTTTTTTTTTGACACAATAATGTAGCACAACTTGATCATTATCATAAACTAATCATCCAACTGAATGAGGAGTTGACCAGTGAAGATTAAGGCGCAGACCTCAAAGTAGGGGCGTTGTTGTGTTTTGTGTATTTTCAAAGGCCTTGGCGATGTATAACGTTGTAAGAGTACGGCGGCTTTTAGCATTAATCAAACTAAGTTTGATGTTTATCAAATATCCCGCAGCCCCCCATTTGCGACGCAGCCATCGATCGACTTTTATTCTGGAAAGCTCACCGGAAGCGTTGCTGTGTTTTTCCTCCGCCAGCGAGCTCTGTGTGTGTGCGCGCGCGCGGGCTGCGGAGGATGTCGACCCCGCTGCGGGGACAAGCTGCGGGCCGGACCCCCCCGTCCAGTCGGCGGTTCCTCGCCCAGTCGCCCCCCTCCCGCGGCCCCCTGCACCCATGAAGGCCCCGCCGATGAGGCCCCGAGCTGCCGGTGCGAGGCGGACAGCATGTACTGGCGCGTCGGGTTCGCCTGGACGCGGTCGTGTGTGGTCGATCTCAGCCAGAACCAGAGCGTCTCCTCCGGCCTGCTGGGCGCCGCCGACGAGCGGCTCTCGTTTCCCGGCTACGTCGTCGCCTGCCCTCTGCGGGACCGCGGCGGGGTGATGTCGGCGCTGGGCTCGGACTCGTGGTGGCGGAAGACGCTCTATTTGACCGGAGGGGCTCTGCTCGCCGCCGCGGCGTATTTGCTACACGAGCTGCTCTCCATCAGGTACCGACAGCACGCGGAGGCCGACCGAGGTGTCTCCTGCGGGGCCGCAGAGCTGCTGCTCCTGGGCCGCGGACCCCCCCCAAAAACACACTTCATCGGCGCATGTTTTCCACTGTGAATCTGTATGTTTCTGTGGTTTGATGTTACTTAAGCTCGTCAGGCTGGGGGGGGTCGTGAGTGGGGGGGTTGTGATGTAACAAGGACCCTCCACCCCCCCAACTCCATCCTGACCAACGCGCACTGGGTCGTTCGTCCCTATTCGCGTGTGAATGATTAATAAAAGGTGATGCAGGATATTCCGATGGTTAAAAGGGGAATAATGGCTAATTGATCTGGTTTGTCAGCGTGGTTCTTCTGCTCGGCCTTGTTCACGCTGTCCGATGCGTTTATCTTATGGATCTTGACAGCGGGTCACTTTCATCTGACTGCGTTTCAAGGACGAGGTGAGATGGAGGTGAGATGGAGCCCGTAGGTTCATCTTGTGTTGACCCCCCCGGGTGTTTGGTTACAGTCAAAGCACTGCAGTTATGTGTTATGTCAAAGTAAACAGTTTAATGCCAAAGCCCCACCCGCGTCCCTACCAAAATAAAAGCGTCGTTCGAGTATTTAACTAAGTGAAGTGATTAATATTTAGTTAAATATCCATTTGGGTGGAGGTCAGATCTTACAGCTCAGTCGAGTCTCCCTCTGAAACAAACGGCTCCTTTCACGCTGACGCTTTTGTTTTTGCGCCCTTTAGTTCTGCACTGTGCCTTTGTGGTCCGTTAACGCCTCCAGTAGTGTCCCTGAATGCACCACATGCAGCATTCGTCTACTGCTCATATAAATTACAAGCACTCTGCAGGTTCAAGGACCTTTGTTGCAGATTATTTGCTTTATTCAGTGATTTGATACTAACAGCCCAATGCTCCTCTGACCACTGACGCACACACACACACACACACACGCCTTCTGCGTGATCTGCAGCTCTGTCATTCTCTCCTCCACACAGAAAAGAGGAAGAGCTCGACTCCAAAGATGCCATCATACTCCACCAGTTCTCCAGGCCCGAGACTGGCGTCCCTTCCCTGTCCCCTTTCTGCCTTAAGATGGAGACGTACCTCCGTATGGTCGACCTGCCCTACAAGGTACAGCCTGCGCTGCTACGTCGGCTTTTTATTTCATCTTTCTACGGCGCAATGCCAACCGCGTGAGGACATTTGGATCCCACAATAAAGTTTGTCCTCTTGTTGTAAATCTAATCAACTTAACTGCTTTTCCCAATCTGCACCTTCTCTCCTGAACACCTTTCTCCTCGCAGAACTACTTTGATGGGAAGCTCTCCCCGCAGGGCAAGATGCCGTGGATTGAATACAACAAGGAGCAGGTGTTCGGCACGGAGTTCATCATCGACTTCCTGGAGGAGCGGCTGGGCGCGAGCCTCAACGCCAGCCTGACGCCGCAGGAGAGGGCCATGTCGCGCGCCATCACCAAAATGGTGGAGGAGCATTTCTACTGGTGAGGAGCCTCGGCCAAAAGATCTCCAGGAGCAGCATTAGTTTCCATTCATTATTTGAAATGATTGATGTCCTCAAATGTGCCTCTCGTGCTTCCATTTTGCAGGACCATAGCTTACTGTCAGTGGGTGGACAACCTGGAGGAGACCCAGAAGATGGTGTCCGTGAGCGGGCCGCTGAGCGATCTGCTCAAGTGGATCCTGAGTCAACTGACCGGTGGAATCGTCAAGCGGGAGATGTACGGACACGGGATCGGGCGCTTCTCCGAGGACGAGGTTTACGCCCTGATGGAGAAGGACATGCGCACGCTGGCCACGCTGCTGGGTGAGAAAGCTGGAAACGGGATTGTTTTCAATGTGCGCCCTGATTAGCAGCACAACACCGCCCCCCCGTGGCGAGAGGCTGTCACTGCAGCGTGGCATCAACCCACCGCCTCCAGCTGCTCTCTTTCTAGACCACGCGACGTACTGATTGTATTTTCCAATATGTTATTCTTATTTTCTCTGTGCTGTCTAAAGGTGATAAGAAGTACCTCATGGGCTCCAAGCTTTCGTCGGTGGACGCCGCAGTGTTTAGTCACCTGGCTCCTGCCATGTGGACTCTACCCGGAACACGGCCCGAGCAGCTCATCAAAGGTGCGTGTACCAAAGTAAATGCGAGGGTGGATGTACGTTCTACTTCTTTTACTTCTGTGGGGTCGACATAATTAAAACATGGATTAAAATTGTAACTCTGGCACTCAATATAGACAAAAGATCAAAAAATATATATTCGATTTTGCCTTAAAAGATACTAGAGAAGAAAACGTTTTGGTTATTACAAAACATTTGCATTTACAGCAGAAATGATACAAATGAAGCAATCTGTTCTTCTGCATCCATATCTACAAATTGCAAATCCTGTTCTTTATTACGTATTAAGGGGAGCTCATCAACCTGGCCATGTACTGCGAGCGCATCCGCCGGCGCTTCTGGCCCGAGTGGTTCGTGGACCTGGAGGACTTCTGCTACAGCGACACCACGGAGGAGAGCGACTGCAAACTCCGCGACCTGGGCCTCTATTCCCGCACGGACACCTTCCAGGACCACACGCACAGCTCACACGGCCACACGCCCAAGGACCCTCCGTCGCCCGAGAGCGACCCCACCGGCCACTCGCTGTGCGACTCTGACATGGACACCGAGTGCTCCGAGATGGACCACAGCAGGTGTTGACAAAAGCATGCAGGTGTAGCAGGCTCCTCACCGCGTATACAGACCCACACCGCGGGGGGGGGGGCTGCATCCCAACTCTACCCGAGCCCCCCGACCTCTGTGAGCAGAAAGCAGCTGTCGGGTGACCCCTGCGTCAGTGGACAAGTTGAGGCCTCCTCCTCCCGTAGCAACTCGCACCGCCGGCCTTGTGTGTGTTCTGACTAAACGGACCCTTAACGCCTTGTGTTGATATGACGCCGAGGGTACGCCACAGGGGTCCGTGTGCGTGAGGTGGAGATATAAAGTATTTGCTTATATGTGAGTCGGACAGACAGCCTTCGAATAGAGAATCACTCCCTTGTTTGGTGTAAATACTTCATTTGTGTTCTCCGACTGTCTCGTCGTAGTCTTAATGAATACCCACTCCGCTGGTCCAGGATCAGCGTGAGGAGTCCGTGACCTCCTGACCTGTATGCATCTGTCCACACATCTGGGATATTAGTTATGCCTGCTGCCCAAGTAGAAGTAGTGCAGGAAAAGTTCATTAAAATAGTGGATTGTAAACTGCAATCTGCCATCAGCACCTTGAGACTGGATCGGTTTTAGAATTATTTTGCCACTTGTTTTATTTTCCAATGTTAGAAGCATAATGTTTGATAACGCCGACATGGTCACCGAGGACAGCGCGTTTATGTCTGACAGACGTTTGACTGGCATTCAAGCATTGAGATAAACAATCATGTAGAAATAGATTAAATAGATGGGTAGTGTGAACGTGCATGGCTGGTGTGTGAGAATGAAAATCTCGCTCTTCACATGAATCATTTCATCCAGTTGTATGATGCACAACGTTTTCAGTGCTTCTGACCAAATTGTTATAATATAGCAGCCCCATGTTAATGTTACTATGTGCACATGGTAACACGTAGTGTGCGGTGGCTGTAATGTGGATGCTGCATGTATGACACACAGTGTCTGCATTACACCCTTCGTCCACTAGAGAGCGCTCATCACTTCACGCAACAAACATCTTGCAATTATTTTATTGTCAAATTGAAAAATTCATTTAAATCACTTTTAAAAATACAAAATATTGCCTTGTTAAGATGCTACAGGAAAGTAAATGTATAATATATACATAGTAGCAGTATAATGTAGCAGTAAATAGACGCCATTGCGACGAATACTGTGTGAAAAAAGGTCATTCTGTGTCTTAAAATTCCTTGTCTGCATGTCGTTGCCTTCTCTCATCATCAGTCAGGTTAAACTGTTTACTTTCTATCAGTGCCAGCGTATGTTTTTTATATGTCATGTTGATACATTGTAATTTATTCGTTTCATATTGTTTATATTTATTGATTTTGATGGTGGATGTGATTTAAATTCTCAATTCTTTTGCAATTATTCTGTGTATTAGTGCAATACTTCCACTGAACAAACTGCATATTTCCACGTTGCCAGTCATTGCCGTATTTGCACGTATGTGTTGAGATGTCATGTGGTAAACGGCGTATTCATACCATATTATCGATGTCATTGGGTTAGAATATGAAAGTTTTACTCTCCGTGTCCCCCGGTGAGCTCCCCTGTTACAGGAGCCGCTTAATCCTCTCGGTGTTCCTCAGAGGTCAGGGGTCAGGGGTCAGTGTGCGTCGCTGTCTGTGGAGATTTCTGCTTGTAGACTGTAGAAGCCATATATTGTCTGTGATGAAACACTCATCAACGTGTAAATAAGAGCCGGGGGGGAAACCGCCAAACTAATATGCGAACATGATCCAAAATAAATTGCTCTGTACTCATTAAAAAACCAGATACGTATGAATGTATCATGCATAGAGATAAAAAGCTGTATGACGATGGATTAGTCATAATATTTCATTAAATATACCTGTGGTATTTTTCTCTTGTTTTGCTTCCCTTTGCGTTTATTCATAAATATTCATGAAATGTCATATTTAAAACCTACATTATTTTACAGTCAGAGTAAGGAATTAGATTTTAGTTGTTGTTCCAGACTTTTTTTTTTTTTAATTCAGAATTTGTAATTAATGGATCATATAAAGAGATTATATTTACTATACTAGGATTTTTTTATTGTTACTACTATGACTTTTAGACATTCTGTGATTTCTTTATGCCGTATTACACTAATAGTTTATTATGACATTTTTCATTACTTTTGGGGGGATTTTTTATAATTATTTTTCAACATTCTATACCTTGACTTTGTGTGATTCTATCTATTCATTCAAAAATAATTATAAACATATATTGATCCTTTCATCGTGCTGGCGTCTTTGCACATTCTATGACTTCCACGTACCTCACAGTTCATCTCTTATGACTTTTTTGGAGATGCTACACGATGAATTATTGTCTTACCTTTCAAAGGCTTTACTACACTAGGATTTTTTCTTAATGTCATTTTCTATTGCTACTATATTAGGACTTTTCATTTCATAACGTGCCATGATGTGATTTCTTTTTCATCACAGGTTATGGAATTGACATTTGCATTGACCTTTAAACTTAGTTTCTTTGTACAAATGTGCGATACTTTAAATACCATGGATTTGTATTATGGCATTTCAAAGACATCTTATAACTTTGGTTTTGTTCTAGAAAAATGTGGGTTTTTGGAGCCGTTTCATTGTGTTCATGGTGTGGTGACGCTGGTATGGATCTTATGGAACTTTAGACTGAAGGGACATTGATACGCGCAGCACAGGCATCTAGATCAGTTTCGGGTTTGCAAAATATGTATCTCGAAATCTGGAAATTTGACTGGAATAGTCTGTAATTTTGCAATCAATTTCAGAATGAGTTGTAACGGTGAGAAAAGCTCTGCTCTGTGCAGACACCTTAGAGGTGCGTACACTCATAATCCCCCGCTATCATATTACCATAGAAATCCCACCCAACCATGTAGCACAATTAGCTCCCTGCCCTTTTCTTTGTGTGTGTGCTGGTAGCTGTGGAGGAAAGTCGCGGGGGCGCCGCCGCAGAGACTCGACGGGATCCGGGTGAGCAAAAGGACACAAGGACGTTTGGTGACTCTGGCTCACGCGTGGACATTGTGCAGAGTCCTCCCTCACGAGACGGAGGAGACGATTCAGGACTGACAATGACACCAAAGCATAAATCCTCTGGTGAGTCAGAGGTGGCTTACAGTGTGTGTGTGTGTGTGTGTGTGTGTGTGTGTGTGAATCTGAATAATGCAAAGGACGCCTGTAGGAGCGTGAGGGCCGCGAGGAGGGCAGATGGTCGCTGGCTGATAGGACGGAATCCAGGCAACAGGGTCCTCCAGAGACCTGGTTTAGACCTGCAACACACACTCACACACACTGACAGTCGCACACGTGTTCGCTCACACAACCGACGAATATTAATGTTTTCAAATATATTTATATGTTCCCTTAAATTACCCATTTGGTTTAATAATTACTCTACAAACAAAGCCTGGTTATTGTAGGTAATAAGTTACGGTTGTAAAAAGGGGAATTGAAGTCTGTCGCTGCCTGATTTCCTTTTAGAAAAAGATTGTAAACGACATTTTAAAAACATCGACTTTAAACATTTTTGCATGAACTTTGGTGTAAATGTTGTTTCCATGATTCCTTAATGAGTTTATTATTATATTAATTATTATATATTATATTAATATTATTGTTATTATTTTGTACAACTTGTAAAGCCCTTGAACCAAAATATATTTTTGTGTTGTGTAAATAAGATTGTCTTTACTTCTATAGTACAACAGTCACAAGCAGCTATAGGCATCAATCAATCATTCATTGTATATTCTATACTTAGTTCTTCTAAAAGTACACAAACTGCTTGTAAATTCAACACAACTGACTGAACTCTAAACAGATGATTGTTTATATTCTCTCGTTGATTATCAGATTACATAAAACCGATATTGTATTCATTATTCATTAATGAAGCTGAAGGAAAAACGATGTGAGGGGTGTATTATGACTCATATCATGTGGTCTCAGAATAATATGCAGACGTTATGACTCAGTGTACAACTACAGCCAGCTATAAATTACAATTAAGAAAAAGTAGCAAGGCGCATCGCTGATGAAGCCTCCATCAGCACCAGCGTGGTCTGCGCCGCGAACCGCCGCCAGGCGGCAGCAGCGAGCTGCTTCTCATTCGGCCTCCAATCAGCACATGAAGCATTTGGTGGAAGCAAAACATGAGGAACATGAAGAAGAAAAGCTGAAGCTGAAGCAGGACCAGAAATCCCACAGCAGCAAAATACAGAAAATGTCCTAAAACATTGTAACTCTCTTAAAATATTCCTGCAGCTACCTCAGCTTTCTTTTTCAATCTATTCTAATTTCCACCCAATATCTCAGAATGCTACTTGATATTTAGCATTTTTTACTATTATTCAAATTATTTCACATGAAATTGACCAACATTTGTTCATAGTTTTTTTGTGTGTGTATTGAAGGCACATTGCACATAATACATGGATGACTATGAAACACCTTCCGTCATACACCTGCAGTGAGGCCTACGCCGCCTCGCTGTGCAGCTTTCTACAGCGTGCAAATGCAAACGCGCCCGTTGTTTTCATCCCGTAAATTACGTCTCGTCATAATCGCCAATTAGTTTCCACATTTGACCCGATGAATATTAGGAATCAACGCCGCGGTGTGTTTCAGTTTCACGCCACCGGCCGTCATCTTTACGGATCACAACAAGACCTGAGCGGATCAACAGCTGAAGGACGAATTTAAGCAAGCGAGACGGATTGATAAAAATCCATAATTATAACACAAGGCCACGTTGAAGAAAAAAAATAAATTAAAAGGCTTGTTGGCAGAGCTGCGAATTTCCCTCCGGCATAATAACGTGCAGAGACTGCAGAGCTGTAGAAAACAAATACGATTTAATGACAAAAAAGCATATAGAAATTGTGCAATCGTTGATTTCCTCTTCGTTTGATCACAGATTTCAGGTCGATGCTGTTTTGTTTTGGTTTTGATTTTTTTTTTTGTTCACCTCAGAAACTCAAATTCAGCTGAAGGATTAGCCTACTTCTGATGTAGTCAGAAATATCATAGAATTGTTGGATTTATACATTTTGGAAATCATATAAATAAGGGTGAATTATTAGGTAAACCCTCAATAAGGAAAATGCACCGCTGGGCGAATTACAAAACACTGCGTGAAGTATTGCTATGCTTCATTTTTAATGATTGGCAATGAATTATTTAAAAACGCGTCTCTGACATTGTAAACCGGCTCCAATACATTCAGCTTTTCAAATGCAAAACGTGTGGTGGGAATCGTCCACACTTCGTCTTATCAAAATATGACATTTTCTCCCTCGAAATCCTTCAGTTGGATTTTTGTTTCTCAATGTTGGGATTTTTTTGTTGTAGAGAAATCATCCCCAACTCGTGGATTTCCACCTTAATAATCCGATCAGGTTATTAATCACAGGATTTAAGTGGCACAAGAACACGTGTCTGTGTTTGTGCTTTGGCACAGAATGACAGAGAGAAGAAAAAAAACAGAGCAAACAAACAAACAAACAAACAAACACACACACACACACACACGCACGAACAAACAAACGAAGCCATAAAAAACCCGATTGGAGATACATCCCACAAAGAGTCGGTGGATGAAGGAGTCATACAGTAGCAGTAGTGGTAGTACCAGCAGTAGTACCAGTAGTACCAGCAGTACCAGCAGTAGTACCAGCAGTAGTACCAGCAGTAGTACCAGCAGTAGTACCAGTTTATAATCAGAGTTGTTCTTAGTAAAAGGAAGGCAAACAGGGGCCGGATTGCTTTGAGGGTTCCAGCCGGACAGTCTCGGTCTTTCTCTTCACAGCATTTTGGAAAAGTACAGAAATAAGAAACAGCTAAAACAGACTGTAAACAGGCGCACAGAGAGAAAAGCGTCGATGCTCGATTGTTCTCATCATTATTATTATTATTATTATTATTATTGTTATTATTATTGTAGCTGACACTGCAATCGATTCAGCTCATTAAAACTAATTTATAATAATAATAATATTGATAATATAGAAATAAGTCGGCCGTGGTACAGCAGGTGTCTTCCACCTCGGCCCTCTCCCTCCCTCCCCCCTCCCCCCTCCCCCCTCTCTCTCCTCCCTCTCTCGCCCCTGTTGCTTTTGTTTTGATGGAAAGATGGCGTTTATTTACCCACACTGACTGCGACTTATTACCGAGCCCGAAGCCTGGTCTCCCCCCCCGTCCCCCCCGTCCCCCCGTCCCCCCCTGCAGACGCCTCGTGTCCACATCTCACGCTGCCTTTCTCTAACGACACGTTACATAACGACACATTGGCGCGTCGGCCGAAGACGCGGAAAAGCATTTTTTCTCTGATCAATTGTCGCTGTTTTAAAAAAAATGTTTTTGTGTGTGTTTGTTTGTTTGTTTGTTTGGTTAGCACGCGCCGGCCGTATTCCAATATGCAGCACGGTGATCCGCGGCATGAACCCGCTCCGCGCGGCTCTCTGCTATGCGTATTTTCAGTGCTCGAGCGCCGCCGCGTCTCCCCGCCGTGTGCGCGTGTCCGCGGGTCCGACGTTTAAACCGGCTTGAGGTCCAGATCCGCGCGCTCCGGCACGCAGAATCAAACGCACACAGGAGGCTTTATTCCTCCTCCGGGGGCCTGTTTTCTCAGGGCAGCGCGCCGAGGTCACTGCACGGGAGTCTGTCCTCCGTGGTGAGGAGGGGTGTCCCCGTACATGTCCTCCCCCCCTGCTATCTGTCCCCCAGCGGGCGTCATCCTCTTCTCCTTCTGCCGCCTGTTACAAAACCAAACCCTCACCACCTCCTTCTCCAGCTGCAGGCTCTCCGCCAGGGAGTTGATCTCCGCGGCTCCCGGCTTTGGACATTTGAGAAAATGGCTCTCCAGAGCCCCTTTGACGCCCACCTCGATGGAGGTCCTCTTTTTCCTTTTTCTCCCCTGCGCGGCGATTTTATCCAGGCTGGTCGGGCTCCCCGAGGTGGAGTCCGCCTCCTCCAGCCACTTGTTCAACAGGGGCTTGAGTTTACACATGTTCTTGAAGCTGAGCTGAAGCGCCTCGAACCTGCAAATGGTGGTCTGAGAAAAAACGTTCCCGTAGAGCGTCCCGAGGGCCAGACCCACGTCCGCCTGGGTGAAGCCCAGCTTGATGCGTCGCTGCTTGAACTGTTTGGCGAACTGCTCCAACTCATCGGAGGTCGGCGTGTCCTCGTCCGAGTGGTCCTGGTGGCCCCCGTGCTGCTGGTGGTGGTGCGAGAGGGGCTGCTGCTGCTGCTGCTGGTGGGCCCCGGGGCCGCCCCCGTGTTCGCTGAGGTGCGGGCTGTGGCTGTGGTGGTCGTCGTCCCGCAGCGGGTGGTGATGCATCGCCCCTTGCTCCCCCCCTGGCATCAGTCCGAAGCCGGACTGGGAATACACCAGGCTCTGGCCCTCAGACGTCGCCATGCCGGGGATGTGCGTGGCGGCTGTGCTGGTTCGCCATGCTCTGGCGTCGTGATGTGGCTGCTGGTGCGCGAGGTGAGGGTGTCGCTGTTGCTGCTGCTGCTGCTGCAGACTGCTGGAGTTCTGCAGCTCCTCTCGGTCACTGTCGTGCAGCACGGGCTTCACGTCCTGCTCTCCGAGGGGACTCGATGGCCACGGCGCCCCGCCGTCGCCGTGAGACAGCGCCGTGATCCACTGATGCGCGTGGCTGAGCGGATGCCCGCCGACCGGTAACGTGCCGTAGTCGCTCTGGAGCAAGGTGTGCGCGTCCCTGTACGCCGCCGCCTGCTGCATGCTTCCGGAGTCCGAGTGCGGCGGCGGCGGCGCGCTGCTGGGGGTGGCGAGGACGCTGTAGTGGTTGGACGTTGCGGTCGCCATAACTCTCGGAGCCGGAGTGATGGCCGGAGTTGAAAGCGAGGCTGCCTTTGACAGTAACTCTTTTGCGCCACGGGGCAGATAGGCGTCTCTCTCCAGCATCTCCCGGGCGCGGTGCCAAGGGGACGCAGAGGCGCGCACCTGTGGTCCGCCTCGCTCCGCTCTTTATTGGCCAAGAACGCTTGACAGATGTGGTTACCCCTGACAGCACCCCGCTCATTGGTCACGGGAGATTGTACAGAAACCCCAATCACTCTGCCCAACAGTCCTAGCAGCCTCGCTGCGTGCGCGAGTGCAAAGTGGAGGGGGGCGCTGGGCCGCCGACAGTAAACAGAAGAGGAAACCAGCTCATATGAAAGAGGTGGGGGGGGGGGGGGGGGGGGGGGGGGGGGGGGGGGGAGTTGATAGTCGACGTTGATCTCGGTCAGTGGGTCACGTTCGGTAGTTTCGTGCGTCAAACCTATGCGTAAAAGTTGCAAAAGCCACACATTGTTTGCGCATTATTTGTTGGAATAACAACAAATGTCCCCAAAACATTCAAAACGACGCGTCCCGCTCTCGCGCATCGCAAGCACCGAGTTTGGGGCATCTTTGAACAATGAACAGTGAGCAGTGATCCTCGGGAGAAGCGTACAGCTGCCTCTCCGCCCTCAGGACGCTGTCCAGAGCGAAGGGGCCGCGTGCTTCCAGGGCCTCTGCCCGTTGCCATGGCGAGCGCGCTGAATGGAACAACAACGCCCACGTCACAGCTGCGGCTCGTTGCTTCTTTTCGTTCCCTTCCAAAAGGCTCATTGGGGCCGCGCGCTCGGCCGCCGGGACAAATAATGGGGGCGAGCGGAGAGGGCAGCTCGGGGCTAAAGAGAGGAGGCTGAAAGAATGGACCCCTCGGCCCTCCATTGAGCCCCAGCGGACCCCCGTCCACCTGCTTGTTGGGTAAACTTTGAGACAGATGCACACACAGTGGCACGCGAGGCCCCGTGGCCCGGACGCACGGAGACGGAGCCGCGGGCCGAGGACGAAGTATGTTCCCTCAGGATGGAGAAGGTTTGGTGCTCCTTTCTAAAAAGGATGCAAGTGGATAAATACAACACAAATGATGGCCTTATGAGATGTGATGCATTATTTTATTATTTATAAAGCAACTATCAGCTTCTCTTTCAAACAGTTAATTCTCCTCTTCTCTCAGATATAAACTTGGTCCCCCCCCCCTCTGGGGGTCCCTTCAGCAACTATTGAGGAGATGTGATTTTATTGGTTCAAAGTGGGACAACGGCTGTAAAACATAACAGCGATTAAAAGGTTGTAGGAACCCGTTTTACCTTTTAGGCAGCGGCGCTCTTTATCCTTCGCTACCAAATTAAATATGTGTGTTTTCTGTTTTGGTCGGCGGGGGCAAATTTAAGGTCCCTGCCAGACCCGATAACGACCATAACAAGGGGAAAGAGATAAGTTAATTGATTAATACTTTGTAATGAAGCCGAGGATGCACAGACATAAACCGACGCACGTTGAGGGATCCAAAGAACACTGGATTATGATCAGGGTGTAATTCTGAGAATTACCAAATGTGTCGCCGGGGGCTCTGGCAAGCCGTGTGGTGGGAGAGGCAAAACATATTAGCCTAATAGACTAATATGCAAACTACTGGCTGCCCAATTACGAGGCTTAATAACGCATAAACGATGCGAATCCTGTTCTTACGAGACGAGGAGGCTGCTGCTAATTCAGTGGAAGGACCGGCTCTGCTGTCAGCACCAGCAGCGAAGAATCCCTCCTTCTGCATTCAAGAGTGAGAGTTAATGATGAAGAATCTGAGCGTTAAATTAACAGTAATTATATGGCCCCACTGCTGTAAAGATTCAATTTCTTCCCCAGTCTAATGGGCCTAAGTGTCCCTGTGCGCACGCAGAACTCTGTATGAGATGTTTATGATCCAAACACACGCAGACGGAACAAACACAAACACGCGCAACGCCAGCGTCTGTGGCTTGCTTCATTTTAGTGATTTAAACCTTATTCGTAATGTGAGAGTCAGTATGAATAGTGCAACTCCCTCGTTCATGTGAACGTGTATATTGGCAAGCAGACCGGTATTGTGGTGGCTTTCACTTTCTCCTGACCAGTGTGTTACTGCCCCCCCCCCCCTGTGGGAACACCAACGTAGGAGTAACTGGGGCAGGGGGGCTTCTTTATGCTGCTGGACACAGGGAGATAATGGCCATTCCTCCACAGCTGGCCCAAACAATCAAAGGCAGAGGGGGCTCCGAGGATTCCAGCTTTAACCAGACCATTGTCTGGGATAATTACATCTGAATGCAAGACCCCAAGAACTCACCTCCCCCCCTGAGCAAAACCTGCACAGAATACCCCAAACAGCCCTTCGGGGGTGAGGGAGTGTGCACAGTGACAAGGCACACACACCGAAATAAACTCTGAGCTCCTTCATTACACCTACACGTAAGCACGCGCACACGCACACGCACACACACACACACACACGCACACACGCACGCACACACACACACACACACACACACACAGACTCGTTCAGTACTTCTACACACTCACATCTCATCAAAGTGATGTGTCTCTCGCATGTGGCACTCAGCATTAGATCAGACCTCAGCCTGCTTGCTCTCAGAAGAGATGAGGAGGCCTTAGAGGACTTAGAGGTTGAATAGAAAACCCAGTGAAGAGCCTTTTCCCAATGCCCCCCCCCCCCCCCCCAATACCCCACCTCCCATAACCCCAATCTATGCGCTCCCTCTGCGACCAAAACCTCCGGTTCCATCTGCAGCCGGAACGCAGAAGCCTCGGCTGGCCGTTGGTGTCTGTGGGATCCGCAGAGCGAGTGTCCTCTTCTGGTGCTCCATCTTCAGAAGACACGTCCAACCCGTGTCCTCACGCTCGCCGATACATTGATTTCTTCAAACATTATGCGCACTGCGGCGTTCGAGAGAGAGAGAGAGGGAGAGAGAGAGAGACAGAGAGAGAGAGAGACAGAGAGAGAGAGACAGAGAGAGAGAGAGACAGGGAGAGAGAGAGAGACAGAGAGAGAGAGAGAGAGACAGAGAGAGAGAGAGAGAGAAAGAGTTGTGTGAAGAATTCCTAAAAACACCCTGGACAGCCCTGAAACAGTCGGCCGCTGCTGACAGGTTGAACGGGAGTTTTAAGTTGCAGTACTTGAAGCGGTTTGTAGGAGCGTTTAAAAGTGAAGTTTCAAAAAGCATTTATAATTTTAATTTAGCAGTTGCCTGAACAAGGAAAGCGATTTGAAAGATAATTGACAAAGTAACAAATTCAGAATTTTAAGAGCCAGAGATCGTTTGAATACAATGTGATTTATAAGTTGGTAAAAAACAAACAGTTCTTTTAGTTGATGCGAAGCTGAAAGTTACTTTTAAAATGCTAAATGTGTACATGCAGAAGTCAGAGCACAACAAGCCAAAGTCAGTCGAGAAATACCAGCAGTAAAGCAGCTGAAATGAGAGTAAAATGTGGATGAAGTGTCGAGTCGGTGCTCATTTATCATTTGTGGAGCTGTTGGGGGGGAGAGGGGGGGAGATGGGGGGGGGATGGGGGGGTGGAGGGTGTTCGCTGTAAAGAGTGTTATTGTAAGTAAGTGCAATGCACACAGAAGAGAATCCAACCAACCTCGTTATCGCTCCTCTTTTAGCTTGTAGGTGTGAGTTAAGCTTTGTGCGCTTACTTACGCGCCTTTTCCCCCCTGTATATGCGTGTGTGTGTGTGTGTGTGTGTGTGTGTGTGTGTGTGCGTGTGTGTGTGTGTGTCTGTGACAGTTTCAGGGTTATGAGGTCTCACTGGTGCTCAGTTTAGCATTGATTTATTCTCTTTCTCCAATTTATTTCCCCTTCGCCTGATCTGCCTCTGGGAGGACAAATGGAGGAGAAACGCCACGCACAGTAACCATCCCTCACAATCTCCCTCTCACACACACACACACACACACACGCACACACGCAATACACACAGCGACACATTTTCCCGGAAGCAGAAATGTACTCATATGTGTATCTCTGTTGGGGTGAACCAGATGCTGACACACACACACACACACACACACACACACAGAATCAACGCTGAGGTTTCGTTTCTCGTGGTACTGGACGTACTCTCTCAGTGACCATTAAGGAGAACTATAAAATTCACAACACTTCCCAACTCCCGAGGCACCAGGACTCCTGGAAGACTTCCCATGTTGTCCCATATAACGGCCCCCAGAGACCCCATAAAGACATAAAGAGACGCTCCCCACCTGGGTGAGTGGTCATAACTCACGTGCAGGTATATTTTCACCGTGACATCGCTGTCGCGGTGCACAGATTCTTCCCCGCTCCCGGTTTATAACGTCCAGACAGGAAAAGCATGAGCGCCGTCATATTGAACAGCATTGCCTTGGTGGTGGAGGGGGGGGGGGGGGGGGGGGGGGCGTGTGGCTTAACACCTCTGCCCACCTGTCTCTTTTGGGGCGTAATAACAAACCTCTCCCCTTTTTTTCTACCCAATTAGAAAAAAAGCACATTAGAAAGAGGCGAGCGAGGGCCGGGAGGAGGCCCAGGTACAGGCCGTTAAACCCTCTTGAAAGCTCAGCGCCCTGATCAATAGTCTTGGACCAAGTGGGGATTAAAATCAGCCTAAGTCTGTCCCAATCGATACTGATGGCTCACCCCGGGGTTAAAACAGGAGTAAATCTCCATACACGTCCACGCACAAGTCGGCACCATGGACCCACAGAACAGATAAATCTGAAGCTATCCATGCAAATGGACACACAATGGGTCAGCGTGCGAGTGTGGTCGATATGAATGAGCGCTGCTGCACAGCCAGTCGTGTCCACGTGAACACGCCGTGCGTCTAGTTGGGGGATCGAGGCAGTAAACTTGGGCAAGTGAACGTCTCGTAAATGCACAAACAAGTGTGCGGTTATACTCACAGAGGAGAACGTGACCAAGGGAGCTGAGACGCGTGATTGGCTGCTTCACACCCCAACAGAGGACGGGCATCACTGCTCCGATTGATCATACGAGCTCAGGTCTGCTTGTCAATCACCAATAATCAATGTATCTATGGACACACAGCAGCGAGGGCAAACACAGATTTATAAAAACTAAAAA